AGGGAACCTGGGCCTGAGCTCGATGTGGAACCTTCTGAATTTTGAGGTTTCGTTGGATGAAGAGGTTCCCGACTTGAGGGTGGAGGAGGCTGCCGCTGATGAGCTCGTGCCGCCCTGGTCGGAGCTCGTGGTTCAGGATCCTGACGCACAGACTTACGTCAGGCACATAGCCTCGCGGAAGCTGCGTCGCCTTGAGTCGTCTTAAGTGCGGTAAGGCCCGGTAAGGCTTGTGAGAGGCTCGACGAGAAGCCGATGTTCATCGCTGATATGTGCCTGAACTGTTTCAAGTAAGCCAGAGCAGGGGCATGTCTCGCTTCGCTCGCAGGCGGTGAAAGTGGAGGCCGATGTCTCCACCGACTTTTTGCTCAAGCATGCGTTTACGGCCCTCGACCAGGCTGGCGTCTTGTCTTTCTTTGAGCGTGAGCGTTGGTCCGAGACTTTGTCTCAGGCACGTTTCTAGACATCTACGGCTTTTGGATAGAGGCCTATGATCCGAGCCCCTTGATTCTTTACAGACCTTTATAAACAGGTCCCTTTTCTTTCTTCGCCATAGACCTCTATGCATAGACCCTATCCCTACCTACACCACCACCTTCGTTTGCCCCCCCTCCAGACAGACGTTACCCTATAGAGTTTAGGGCTCAGGGGTTTTTAGGGTTTAGGGTTCAGGGGGCGTTTAGGGTATAGGGTTGTTTTAGGGTTTTGGGTTTAGGTTTAGGGGTCACTCGGGCTTGGGGTCTAGGGGTTTTCAGGGTTTAGGGTTTAGGGGTTTTTAGGGTTAAGGGCTCGAGTTTTGTAGTGTTAAGGGCTTTTTTAGATTCTCGGGTTTAAGCCCTAAGGATTTGTCGGGTTTAGGGATTGTGGTTAGGGTTTAGGGTTTTTAGGATCTATATAGGTGTTTTTTAGGGTTTAGGGCTGAGGGTGTTTTTTTGGGTTTAGGGTTTAGGGGGTTTTCAGGGTTTATGGCTTCGGGCTTAGGCTTTTTGGGTTCAGAGTTTGGTTTTTTTTAAAGGTTTTTCGGATTTGGCTCTAGGGCCTAGGGGGTTGTCGGCTTTAGGGGGTTTAGGGTTCAGGGTGATGCCCGGGTTGAAGAATCTCACAGTCGATAAGCCGGAGGGCTTTGCGGGCAGGTTGGCTGGTTACTTTCAGGACGAAACTTCGCGTGCCAAACTAGTTTCTCCCTTGAAAGGAAAACGGCTTTGTTGCCGCTGGTGGGCCCACTTTTTGGCCTTACTGCTGTTCCTTGGTTCAAGACTTGGCTGGGCCTACGTGAGGATTTGGGCATCCCTGAAGGTGAGGATTTTCCGTTGCTGCCGAGCCATGGGCAAGAAGGGGCGTGGTCTCCTGTTCCGCCCTCAACCGCAACCACGATGGCTGCCGGGCTCCAAGGAATCTTGATCACGCGACGCTTCCCTGAGGCCCGAAAGCTTGGAACGCTGACGCGCAGCTGTAAATGCACGTGTTCTCGTACTGCGCAAGTTTTGTGTGCAGGCTGTGCACCGTCGTGTGTTGTGTCACAAGGCTCCCCAGGATGCAATGTCTCTCCAGCCCTTCGCTCACTTGAGTCTGTCATTAAGGACGCTTGGATGTTGCATGCTCAGGATTTCCCGAACCAACCACTGAGGGAACCTGGGCCTGAGCTCGATGTGGAACCTTCTGAATTTTGAGGTTTCGTTGGATGAAGAGGTTCCCGACTTGAGGGTGGAGGAGGCTGCCGCTGATGAGCTCGTGCCGCCCGCCAGAGCAGGGGCATGTCTCGCTTCGCTCGCAGGCGGTGAAAGTGGAGGCCGATGTCTCCACCGACTTTTTGCTCAAGCATGCGTTTACGGCCCTCGACCAGGCTGGCGTCTTGTCTTTCTTTGAGCGTGAGCGTTGGTCCGAGACTTTGTCTCAGGCACGTTTCTAGACATCTACGGCTTTTGGATAGAGGCCTATGATCCGAGCCCCTTGATTCCTCAGTGGAACCCGGTGTAGCTGTTTCTTTACAGACCTTTATAAACAGGTCCCTTTTCTTTCTTCGCCATAGACCTCTATGCATAGACCCTATCCCTACCTACACCACCAACTTCGTTTGCCCACCCTCCAGACAGACCTTACCCTCAAACCCAGAAGACCCCTTTTGGTTTATATAGAGTTTAGGGTCTAGGGTTTAGGGTTCAGGGGTTTTTAGGGTTTAGGGTTCAGGGGGCATTTAGGGTATAGGGTTTTTTTAGGGTTTTGGGTTTAGGTTTAGGGGTCACTCGGGCTTGGGGTCGAGGGGTTGTCTTTTTAGATTCTCGGGTTTAAGCCCTAAGGATTTCTCGGGTTTAGGGATTATGGGTTGTTAGCGTTTAGGGTTTAGGGTGTTTAGGATCTAGGTGTTTTTTAGGGTTTAGGGCTTAGGGTGTTTTTTGGGTTTAGGGTTTAGGGGGTTTTCAGGGTTTATGGCTTCGGGCTTAGGCTTTTTGGGTTCAGAGTTTGGTTTTTTTTTAAAGGTTTTTCGGTTTTGGCTCTTGGGGGTTGTCGGCTTTAGGGGGTTTTAGGGTTCAGGGTGATGCCCGGGTTGAAGAATCTCACAGTCGGTAAGCCGGAGGGCTTTGCGCAGGTTGGCTGGTTACTTTCAGGACGAAACTTCGCGCGCCAAACTAGTTTCTCCCTTGAAAGGAAAACGGCTTTGCTGCCGCTGGTGGGCACTTTTTGGCCTTACTGCTGTTCCTTGGTTCAAGACTTGGCTGGGCCTACGTGAGGGTTTGGGCATCCCTGAAGGCGAGGATTTTCCGTTGCTGGCCAGGCGGCGAGGAATCTTGATCATGCGCGCCCAGCGTGCTTGGAACGCTAACGCACAGCTGTAAATGCACGTGTTTTCGTGCTGTCCAGGTTTGGTGTTGAGGCTTTGCGCCGTTTGGGGTGTCACAAGGCTCCCCAGCATTCAATGTCTCTCTCCAGCCCTTCGCTCACGTGAGTCTGTCATTGAGGGCATCCGGCTTGGATGTTACATGCTCAGCATTTCCCGAACTGACCACTGATGAGGGAACCTGGGCCTGAGCTCGATGTGGAACCTTCTGAGCTCGTGCCGCCCTGGTCGGAGCTCGTGGCTCGTGGTCCAGGATCCTAATGCACAGACTTGTGGGAGGCACATAGCCTCGCGGAAGCTGCGTCGCCTTGCTGAGAGCGGGAACCAGACTCACCAGGGCAAGGGAAAAGTGGTACAGTACAGGAAAAGGAAAAGGGTCGTGCCCGTCACCACGCGTGGCTTCCCTATCTGCTTTGATCACAACCTGGCTCGGTGCCAGCGGCCTGTTGCCAATGGCAATTGCGATCGAGGCCTACGCATCTGCTGTCAAAGGCTTCTTGAAGCGCGATCATGTGTATACAAACTGCCCAAAGCATAGAAGGGACTAGGCCACGCCACGCAGGCTCATGTTACCGATGATAAGGATGCAGCGTAGCCTGGTGAGGAGCTTGTGATAACGAGGTCCCTGAAGAGGATCCTCTCCGGCCTGAGCCTCAGCGGCTCAGCGCCGTCGAAGAATAGCCCAAAATGTGACAGATGGATTCAGCAAATAGGAGCTACCGCGTTGAAACGCACACAATACTTTCAGTATACTAGCGTTCGTTCGGCCGGATTGCTGGTACGCCGTGAAGGAATTGTCGCGCAACGTGAAGTCACCAACGTTGGAGAGCCCGGCCAAGCTGAAACACCTGTTGAGGTGCATGGCCCCTGACATTGGTCGAAGAAAAGTACCCGCCTATGACCTATGATAGGCATCGCTGCACCTCTTTCTAGACACCTACAGTTTTTAGATAGGGGCCTATGATCCGAGCCCTTGATTCTTCATCTCTTTCGCCATAGACCTCTATGCATAGACCCGACCCCTACCTACGCCGCCGCCTTCGTTTGCCCCAGATAGACCTTACTTAGATGGGCCGTGGGTTGGCTAATCAGTTAAGTAAGTTAAGATGATTAAAAGTGAGACTTATAACTTTTAGCTAAACATGATAAAAACCACTAAATGGCACAACACGGTTGCCCAGATTCATCCACATTAACTTACTTCGAGGAGAAGAAACAAGGCCATGAGAACAGAAATTCGCCGGGGAAAACCATCCACGGCCCGGAATCTTTAAATGGTGAAGTGCGACATGGAAAGTGTTTTCAGGATTGGAGAAAGGTTTGGCAGGCAAAAGCAGTGTCGGAATCCTTGATTTGAAGGCTAGAATGCGGCTAGAAAGTCATGCCAAGAGGGAAATGTGAAACTCGGCACCAGGCAAAACCGTGCTGAAGCAACAGCATGCACATTGAGCAGGCGAGCTTGTGTCATACTCACACAGATAAGACAAATGCATGACGTCAGCAGCTTTTGGTATTGCATGCAGCTGCTTCAACATGTTTATTGTCATCACCGCGGCGGTGGCATGCATGTAGCATGGTCCTGCGAAACCATGCTTGGAAGCATGACCTGCACCTTGATTGCAAGCCTGCGTGTGCGTGGTAAGTGGTTCTCCTGATTTTGGGGGGGCCTTGGGTGCCGAGTGTGCAGGCACATATAGCTGTGGCTCAGCCCGATGAACGGGAGACAAATGACAGAAAGCAGGAGTGCTTGCCTATTTTCGCACGAAAGCTGCTCAACAACGATGGTGGTGAGGGATCAAAGTTCGGAGCCCGACACTGTCTTTGCAATGCATGACAGCAATCAAGATTTCGCTACTGTGTATAAGCACAGGCTCGTCCAGCGGGGTCCACAAGGCACTGTGTGTTTCGTGACTGTACACTTGCAGGGACCACAGGGCAACCAGCGACCACAGCCTGCCTTGCACAGAAGCATGAAACCAAACTTCGGCGCAATCCCACCCACCTCCTGCAAGGCGAAAATTCGTAGCAACCTGAAACTCCTCCTCGGGCACACCTGGAAACCACTGCTTGAGCAGTTCTCTCAGTTTGGCAGGTGGCTGTCTCGGTCTCTCCAAAGCGAGGGCGACCACTTCTTCGTACAAAGATCGTTCAAAAGCTGTGGTGTTCATTATGCTGCCAGCATACCTTGTAATGGTTTTGTGCTTTCTTTCCATGCTGAAGGTTGCAGGTAGCCTCTGATGTTTCTGAGCCAGTGCATCTTCCTGTTCACGTGTTTCTCCCAGTCTGCTGCAAACCATGACCTCATACATTCATCGGCTGCTTGTGTCAACTGCAATGGGCTAACATGTTCGGCATGTCCATGACAAGCTGCCTGAAGCAACTCTACCATGTGACTCATCTGGAGGAATGCTCGGCATTGCGGTTCTAAGAAGCCATGGGCAAGGATGCATGTCCGAACAAAGTAGGCCAGCACTGGGTTCAAGGTCAGCATCTCACTTGCTGTTGTCTTGAATTTGTCGGCGTCTTTACACGACTTTATCCTCTTGTCAGCGAAGAGCGCTTCAGGTTTGTTGTTCCTGTGTGTTTCTCAACTCTGCCTTCTAACTCCTCTAGGCCCCTAGGCTCGAACTTGGGAGCGTGCAAACGTTTCCCTCCCGCCGCCCCATCTTTCATTTTAAAAGGGGGTGCCTGGGTTCGAAGAGCCCTGCCTGCGGTGGCCTTGCCTCAAGGCCTCTCAGCTGCCTGCGTGTCTCTTTGAACAGCCGACGCCTGAAGCAATACCGTGGAAAAAGAAGCGAGGGTTGCCTGCACTCGTCTTCTTCGCTGTTTCGAGTCTAGAGGTTGGTTGAGAAACTGCCCCAGTTTGATTTGGGCAATTGAAGCAGGCAAAGTCCACAGGTCCACGAACTTCTCCAGGTCACCAAACACCGCACTGAAATCCTGTCCCTGGATGGTTTTCAGGAGGCGCCAGGTTGCCTCGTTCAGCGTGCCATTACTGAGGCAGCAATGCATCCAATCATGCACGAACATTGCCACCGGTCGGATGACATTCCTCAGCAAGGGCTCTGAGAAGATGCACTCTGGACTGAATGTCCAGCCGGTGGCTTGCTGCCAAAGATTAAAGTCTTTGGCTGCACACCTTTGCTTCTGTTGCACGAGCCGAGACCAGGAATCTTCACCTTCTGCACATCTCTTGAGCAAAGTGTAGAAAGCACCTCCTTGCCGACAAACACCCTCGAGCAAGCTGAACACATTAAGCAGCATGAAAGTCGCAAGGCCACCTTCAGTGGTCTTTGCTTCGTGTTCCACAAACAAAGGCCCGTAAGTATTGTATCTGGACAAGAACGACCTCGTGGCTTCCCTCATCTCTTTTGGGCCCGACATCTCGGGAACACCATGCTGGGAGATATCTTTCAAGATACCATGCAAGGCACTTTTCGAGCAGAAAGGTGTAGCCCTTCGCAAGGAATGCAATCTTTGCAGCTTGCTTGGCCTCTCCATGGCTGAACACAATTGGTTTCAGGCCTCCTAGCCTTAACAACAAATCTGCCCCTCAGATTATCAAAGCTTCGCACAAGCATGCACGTACTGTAATTCGTGCCACTTCTGCATAGTTTGAGCAATGCTTGCTTTGGGCGAGAGTGCATATCAGGACTCAGGAGCCAGGGCATGAGCACCATTGGCAGGTGCTGCAAACAACCAAACAACAAGGGCCTGCAGAGCTGCGACGCATCGAGACAAGTCCAGCTAGGAGGCCAGACTTGGCTGACGTTGGATGGGGTTCAGGGCTGAGGGTTTAGGGTTTTAGGGTTAAGGGTTCGTACGGTGTAGGAATCATTAGGTTGAGGGATTGTTAGGGTTCAGGGTTCATGATGGGTTCTTCTCTCTCGTGGCCCGGATCGTGAAGTGCTCCAGGATCCAAGAATGCTGCAGCTTTTGCTGCATCCTTCGGAGCAGCTTTTGCTGCAGGCTACCCACCCCTTCCCCGAGCTGGCTTCTCGCTCACTTCTTGCCAGTCTTCTTTCCACCCTTCTCGCCATTCTTCGCCACGTCGAGCTGCCTCTTCTCGTGCCATGCTTTCCATGCCTGTCTGCCAGGCAGCCGCAGGCCAGCATTTTGGCATTGAGCACACCCCGTGCTTGTGCCCCTGCGCCGTATGCACCCCAAGATGTTGGGCAGTCTGGGGTGCTTCCGAGCTTCTTTCTTCGCCTGAGGCTTTGGCTCAGACTGAACAGCTGCTGCAGGCCTCTTGAAGTTTTTTGTTTTGCCGGGCTTGCCTTTCTGAAGGCCCTAGCTTCCCGCTCTGCCAAGGGCCCAGCAGCAGTTGGCTGCTGCTGGTCCTGACTTTGCGCCGCCTGATTTGAGGGTTGCTGGTTTGCTGCCTCCATGGACTGCTGGGCCGCTGGCCTTGGGCTGGAGGCTGCTGAACAGCAGGCTCTGCTGCAGGGACTGGCCTCGTTGCCTCAAAAAGCAGAGGCGACACGGCCTGAGCAGAGGAGTGTGGCTGCTGCTGGGACAGCAACGAGGCTGTAGTGCAGTGGGGTGCTGCTGCTCGGGACTCCGGGAAGGTGCCGCCAGCCTGCCCGGCCGAACTGCCGGAGTCTAGAGTCCCCACTGTCTTCAGCAAGAACTTCTGCAGCAGCTGGTGGACAGGGTCATTGTCACCATCCGACATGGAGTTTTTGTTCTTCGGGTTCTTCTTTTGGTTCCAGGACAGCAAGCGTGATGTGCTTCGCACTGGTGTCTCGTGTTGCACACGGCTGCGAGACCTGCCAAGTCCTTCGGCACAGGCGGGTCGTTTTTGTCGTACGCGGCCTCCATGAAGCTGGCACCCAAGTCCTGGGGGGTGACACCGCTGGCCTTGTTTTTCACCTGGGTGTTCAGGAAGACCTTGTGGGGCTGCTCTGCTAAACGGTAGATGTCGTCGTAGCTTGGCGACACATTCAACCGCTGGATCTGGTGATGGACGATGATCGCTGTGGCCCACTTCTTTGTTTCTTTCCTTCAGTGAAGTCAAGCCACACCTCTTCAGCCTCTCGCTCACCACGACCGTTGCATCCCAGCTGCTGCAAGACTCCAACCGGGCCCAGTCTCGCTGCGACAAGTAGTTGAAGATCTGAACAAGGCTCTGAGGTTTGCTTGTCAAATGCACTTGGGATTGACAAGACAATGTGGGGCCCGCAGCATCGTCCAAAGCTTTCAGCAAGCTTTCCATACTGCTGGCTGACAGCTTCGAAGCATTTACTGCCTCTATCATGCTGCACAGCTGCTCTGCGGTCCACGAAGGATGGTGAACCATGCGATCTTGGAGCTGCCCGACTATCTTTGGCTCCAGGTCTGCACCTGGCCTAAGGGCCACCAGCCTCTCTATGGAAGCCATCTCCTGAATGAAGTCCTGTGCAGTCCAGCGAGCCATGATCGCAGGAAGTGGAAAGAAAGCAGATATAAGTGAGAACATGCCATGACTGGACAACATAAGAACATGAGGTGTGCCTTACACGGACCCTACTGCCCCTCAGTCGGTCAGAAGGCCTGCAGCATCCGAAAACAGCAGTGACAAACGAGCTTGTGGTACAAGACAGTGTCCTCATGCTTCGTGTGCGCCAGAGACATGAAAGCACTGCCATACGTGCTGCATGACAACAGAAGAAGAAGAAAGCACTGCCATCAGTGCTGCAGTACCAACGAAGCACTGCATCGTTGCTGCATGACTCATAGACCCGAAGCACTGCCATGAGTGCTGCATGACAAACGGAGCACTGCCATCAGTGCTGCATGACAAACGGAGCACTGCCACCAGTGCTGCACGACCTAGACCCCCAAGCACTGTTATCAGTGCTGTGTGACCTGAAGCACCTGAAGCCCACGGCCCTCTAAACCCTAAACCCTCAAACCAACTAAACCGCAAAGCTTCAAACCCGAAATAAACACTAAACCCTAAAATATAACGAAACCCTCAACCCTATAAACCCGAATCCGCAAAGAAAAGGATACCCCTATATAACCCCATGAACCCTTTGGCAACCCCAAGCCCTAAAAACTAAGCAAACCCTAAACCCCAAACCCCAGCCCTTTGGTCGCGGGTTGAGGGTTTAGGGTTTGGCTTGTGGTCTCTGAGCTGGGAAAAAGCCTGAAGGTTGGACAGCAAACCGGGTTAGGGTTTAGGGTTTATACTTCAGGCTTTAGGGTTCATGGTTTAGGGCAAAGCTCACGGCTCAGGATTCCGGGCTCAGGGAACCCTGTTTGGGGTTTAGGGTGCAGGGTTTAGGGTTTTGGGCTTCCACTTCAAGGTTTGGGGTTTTGGGCTTAGCGTGTAACAGGACTCCTGGGTTTGCACTTCAAGCTCCGGGTTGTGGGTTTAGGATTAAGCAGACAGGACTTTGGGGCTTCCACTTCAAGCTTTGGGGTTTTAGGTTTCAGGTTTAAGCGCCCACGACTTTTGGGCTTCCACTTCAAATTTTGGGTTTTTGGGTTTAGGGTTTAAGCATACAGGACTTTTGGGCTTCAACTTGAAGCTTTGGGGTTTTGGGTTTAGGGTGTAAGCAGACAGGGTTTTGGGTTTAGGGTGTAAGCAGACAGGATTTTTGGGCTTCAACTTGAAGCTTTGGGGTTTTGGGTTTAGGGTTTAAGCATACAGGACTTTTGGGCTTCAACTTGAAGCTTTGGGGTTTTGGGTTAAGGGTTTAAGCAGACAGGACTTTTGGGCTTCCACGTCAAGCTTTGGGGTTGTAGGTTTCAGGTATAGGCGCCCGGCTTCCACTTCAAGCTGTCGGGTTTGGGGTTTAGGGTTTAAGCACACAGGGCATTAGGCCTTCCACTTCAAGCTTTGGGGTTTTGGGTTTAGGGTTTAAGCATATAGGACTTATGGGCTTCAACTTGAAGCTTTGGGGTTTTGGGTTTACACAAGACGTAAGATTCAGTAGCCCTCAAGGGCTAAACCGTAGACCCTAAACCCTAAACCCTATACCCTCAACCCTAAGGCCTGAACCCTAAACCCTAAGACTTAAACCCTAAACCCCAAACACGAAACCCTAAAACAGGGTTTCTGGTTCAGGGTACACGACACCAATAGTAAGTTGCACAGGAGCAACTGTGAACAGTAGACCCTGACGCCAAAGTTGTTCAGGAACATCTTTGCCTTACAGAACGGGCACCGGAGATGTTTATGAGCAACTCTTATGCCATAATCCTGCACCAAAGATGTCTTTGAACAACTTTGACACAACACTTTTACATCAAGGATGCCTATGAACAATTCTTCACACTGATACGCGTTGCAGTGGTTTCATGACGATCTTTACACAACTGGAGGCTGCCACTTTTTTTTGGTCGCGTCCGCTGCGTACACTTAATAGTTGTATTGAGGATCCACTCCCCGCCGGGCCATGTACGCGAGGTGGTCCTTCAAACGCGTCTCGAACTGCACGTCGTAGTTGCTGAATGCCCTGCTTAAGTGCTCCAAGCGATCCCAGTCTTTCGTATGCCAGGCACCAATGGCCGCAACGAGCCGGATTGCAGTTTCGTACTCCAGCGCTCAAACTCGAAGTCCCCAGCTGCCTGGCTAGACGAAGATCCCGAGCCCACCGTCCGCTGCCTCTTCGCAGGGGGTCCAGCAAGGGATGCAGCAGGGGGTGCGGGAGGCCGGTTGATGTTGTACTTGAGGAACAGGTCTTCCTCGACCTCGGAGACCTGCTCCGGGTATGTGCCCCAAACCCGAGGGGCTCTAAACCCAGACCCCTCAACCCTAAACCCTAAACCCTAGACCCTAAGCCTTACCCTAAAACCCTAAACCCTTAACCCTAGACCCGAGACCCTAAGCCTTACCCTTAAACCCTAGACCCTAGACCCTGAACCCTGAACCCTAAACCCTAAACCCTAGACCCTAGACCCTGAACCCCAGACCCTAAACCCTTAACCCGAAACCCGAAACTCTAGAGCCGAAACCCGAAACCCGTGAGCCACCCTTTCGGGCCTGTGCCTGCTGCTGCAAAGACTCCTGCTCCTGCTTAAGCCTCATCTCCGTCATCTGCCGGGCCGCTGCCTGCTGCTGCATGGACCCCTGCTCCTGCTTGAGCCTCATCTCCATCATCTGCTGGTGGTGCTCCTTCTGCAGCGAACAGGATCAAGACTCTGGTCCCACCCCGGGCCACACGTAGTCGCCTTGGGATCTGAGCACACTGGCCAGTGCTCTGCTGTCCTTCAGGGTGTGGGGTTTAAGGCTTAGGGTTTTTCAGGTTTAGGGTCTAGAGTTCACGGCTAAAACCAATCCACAGGGAGTCCTGATCCCGCTCAGTGGGTTGGTGGAACAGCGTCGGGTAGCTCGCAGCCACAGGGAGTCCTGATCCCGCTGCAGCCGCAGGCTCCCGAGCAGGTTGTTGCTGGAACAGCGTCGGGTAGGTCGCAGCCCCGGGGAGTCCTGATCCTGCTGCAGCCGCAGGCTCTGGAGCAGTTGGTTGCTCGAACAGTGTCGGGTAGCTCGCAGCTGCCCGTTCCCACCACGTTTGCTGCTCGCGTGTGAGCTCCTGAAACCACTGCTGCCATTCTGTCTGATCTGCTCCCTAGTCCAGCTTTGTTCTTCCGTCGAGAGATGCAAGAACTCCCAGTACTTCACACCAGGATGCTGGGGACCGGCCATCTTCACAAGCTCTAGCACAACGACCTGGACTAGCATGTGCCATGGTCACACATGCAGCATACCGCTGCACATGCCTTCTACCTGTGCAGGTTGCCGAACCTGAACATGACGTTCACTCAATGCACAGAACCCATGCATGAAAACATTCTGGAACTACGGCCCCTGCATCTTGAGGCGGCGCGGGCACGTACAGAATCATTGGACCTTGCTATCACGCAGCACAGAAGCTAGACCCGACCCTGACATGCATCATGAAGCCCTGCAAGGCAGTACTGCAGGAAGCTGTTTCACGAACCCTGGGAAGCCCTGCCAAGAGCATGCAGAAGTTCAGGGGGAAGCTTTTGGATGCCACAGACCCTCAACCCTCAACCCTCAACCCTCAACCCTCAACCCTCAACCCTCAACCCTCAACCCTCAACCCTCAACGCTCAACCCTCAACCCCCCCAAACCCTAAACCCTAAACCCTAACCCCAAAACCCCAAACCCTAAACCCTAAACCCTAAACCCTAAACCCTAAACCCTAAACCCTAAACCCTAAACCCTAAACCTAAACCCTAACCCCTAAACCCCAAACCCCTAAACCCCTAAACCCCTGCACCCCAAACCCTAAACCCTAAACCCTAAACCCTAAACCTAAACCCTAATGCTGCATGTAGCCTGCGTACGAACACTGCAGAATGCGAGCTTCTAATGTTTTCCTACTCTAGATGCAGGCATCCTCGCAACTCACTCCGAACGCTCGCTCGGCTCATCGGAGTCGGCTTTCTTCTCAAGGACCCTACGTTTCTTGTAACGGCGCTTGTCGTCCGGATCGGCATCCTTCACAGAAGCTGCTGAAATGCAGTTTAGACCACAACAAGCAAAAACATGCAGCTACATTACATACGAGTCCTCAGTGATCTTTGTGAACACAATCTGCAAGATCTCAGGCTCCAAACGAACCAAGAGGTCGGTGCTCACCTTGTGTTTCGGCTGCACTCCGATTTGTGGGTTGGACCTTGAGGTATTTCACCTCCCCAATCTCCACGATCAAATCGCCCGGCACCACCACATGCCGACCTTGCCATGTAAGGCTTGTGCAGGTGCCGATGGTCACCATGGTCTCCAGCGGCTCAAGAAAAAAGCAACAGCCTGAAAGAGCCTGCTTGAACACTCAGCTGAGGAACGACACAGCACACCCATGCAGGATCCCCAACGAAAAAGCACATTTGTGCTGTTCCCCAAGCAAGCAACAGCAGTTCGTTGCTACATCAACACACGGACACAAACACAGAGACACACAGAAATAGGGTTTAGGGTTTAGGGTTTAGGGATGAGGGTTTAGGGTTGAGGGTGTAGGGTTTAGGGTTTAGGGTTTGATGCCGTGCTGGCACATCAAAAGACTCAGTCGTAGCAAGATCAGGCGCCCCAACAGCGCCATGAGCATCGCGATGAGACTAGTGACGATGGCGATCACGTCGTCTTTCTCTTCTTGCTGCTGGAGCCCTTGCCCTCCTGCTTGTCCAGCAAGTCCTTGCTGGCCTGCAACAAGACACTCTTGGCCGAGATTTTCTTGACATTCGTAAGCAGGGGCAGCGTCAGCCCATCCAGAGTCTTCCAAGAAATCTTCATGGTCACCTCATCTTCCTTGGACGTCGTCTTCACAAAGTAGAAGGGGACGATAACTTCCGTGGCTTTCGGCCTGCTGTCGCACAGAAAGCAACTCTTTGCCGGAAAGCCCCATACATATACCCTGTAGACACAATCCTAGTTTCTTGCTTAAGGCGAGGATCTCATCGAAGTCTTTGAGCTGCGGCAATGGGGAGAGCTGATACTTGGCACCTTTCCATTCCACGAATGGACAAGATTGCCAGGGGGACGAGCTTCAGCTTCTGAGCCGCGAAACTGCTCGATGCGTAAATGGCCGTAGGGCTGAGGATGTCCAAGGTCGCCGAATCGCCCGAGTTGTGGTCCTTGTACACTTTGAAGAGCATCTGTTGAGCCTCGGCCAGCAGCTCCGCCTCGGCCAACACGGAAGACTTCCCATACATGAGCCCTTCGGCCGCATCCTGCGGCAAAACTTTGGGAAGTGGCAGCCTCGTGGCTTTCCACTTGCGGAAAAGGCCAGGGGGCTGCACGAATCGGGCCTCGTCGTTCTCGAGACCCGTGTAAACGAAGATCTTGTCTGGGTGGTCCGCATGCATGTACTTGCCTCCATTCTTCAAGTGCTTGTTCTGCAACAAAGCCTGCTCGCCTACACTCAAGCCACCCAAAAGGTTCAAGGCCTGCTGCTCATCCTGTTGGTCTTTCGCATCGCTCCCACACGCACTGCCAGAGGCTGCATTGCTCATGGCTTCTTTGGCAAAGAGCTGGGCCACGTGCTCTGGGCTCTCATACACCTCCATCTTCTCACGGCCCAGCTTCTCTTTTTTCACCAAGATCAAGGTCAGGCGAACCATCATGAGCCCCAAGGCTCGTTGGACGGCAGTCGTCTTCCCGGAATCCACGTACACCTGGTAGGCATCAGCCACCATCTGCTCGGCTTGCAAGAGGTTCTGGCGAAGATTGGCGCTTTTCAGCTTGTCAAAGTCGGACTTTGAAAGCAGCCGGGCAGTTCCGTCCACAATTTTTGGGCTCGTCAGCTGGCACGCGAGCAGCGAAGCTCGAAGAAATGGGAACTGGGTACTGGCCTCCTGCAGGTCCCACGAACACACGGCCTTGAACAGCTCTTCACCGACAGCGACTGTGATCGACAGTTCCTTGCAGAACTCCGACAAAAAGGAGATGAGGGGGAATCCTGTTCCTTCCCCAAACTTTTGCACATAGACGGCATAGACGCCTACGAAATCCATATAGGAATGGCAGGCGGGCTTCGAAGCCTTGACAGAGTGAACGGCATCTTTGAAGGTCTGACCGGACGAGACTAGCAGGGCAACCTGCTGGGCTGCCTCCATTTCCTGGATCCCTAGCCCTACGGAGTGTACGCTGTTGAGAACCATCTGGCAAAAGGCCGGCAAGGTCGGTGCCAGGTGCTCAGCCTTCCCGCTGATAACCAGCCACTGCCAGCCCTTGTTGCAGGCGTCTTTCATTGCATCGTCTTCCAAGTTCAAGAATCCGGTCCCGGAACGCCGTGGGCACACGCGTCGTGTGCAGTTCCCCCTTAACAGACGCATTACGCCACTCGCGGACGCTTGCGAACGCTTTGCGAACGCTTTGCGGACACTTTGCGAACGCTTGGCGGACACAACGCAACGACGTTTGGTAACCTCCCAAGCAACGTTAAAACAGGAACCCTTCTGCGGAGCATTCGGGAAAAAGCCGAGAAAACAGCAAAACAGACTTCTTGGGGTCCTTTGTTTAATCCTATTTGGAGCTCTAAAATGGCCTGAAGCCTGAATTCGGCTCTGAGATTCGGTCCCCGAGGCTGGCTTTGTACAAGTATGCTAAGGCAATCCCAAACGGAACCTCTACATCTCCCGCAGCAAGAGTTAGCCAAAAGAGGAGAAGCAACTCCCTGAAGAGGTACCAACCAAGGCAAGGGGGGTCCAGTGCGGGGTTACCGGCCCTAAGGCAACACAACCACCCCAACCAAGGCCACACCCCCGACACCAACCCTGTGGGCCCTACTCTTTGTCTGATGGCGCTCCAGGCAATTCTTGAGCCACGTGCGTTCCGGCACGTATATGTTTGTACAACTGCTTCGACGCACTTACATCTCCGCGCTCCCCCTGTTCCAGGTTTCATGGGGCACCTTGGGAGATGACCATTTGGCCCAAAACTGCACTTTCTGGCAGTAGCCTCATCTTCCATTGCTTCATTGGTCACTTCATTCCATCTGTACATCCCATCTTTCTTTCAGCCAAAAGCTGCTTCAGGCATAAATCCAAGTGTTGGTTCTTCACCCAAAAAGTCCACACTCACAATCCAGTCCGTGTTAACACATCGCTTGCACATAGTTCGAGCGCGTTAAACCCCTTCAAGCTCCGAACCTCATGGCCGTTGTCACTTCGAAGCATAGCATCATTTGGGGCAGTGTTTTCGAAGGAAGGGGGAGGGTTTTGTAAGGGGATCCCAAGTCTAACTTGGACCTCAATAGCTCAAGTAATACTGAAAAAACTGCAAATGAAGGTTTCCGATATGAGGGGGCACCTTCTCGTGGTCCTTTGTAATTATAAGGGGATCCTATTTTGGCGCTTCATAGTGTGGATGATCTCATGGGTTGAGTTTCATTGGATCTGCAAGGGCAAGTGAGCAGCAAATGAGGGTTTCCGATATAAGGGGAGGTGCCTTCTTGGGGTCTTGTGTGTAAGGGGATCCTAGTTGGAGCTCAAAAACATGTCACAAAATCTCAAAAACAGCTCAAACAAACCACTCAATAGCTCAAATAACACTCAAACATAAATGTTAGCTCATATTGCCCCAGCGCCCGCTTGTTCTCCTCGCCCGCACCGACACACCAATGCGCTGCGCCCCCCCCGGACCCGGAAAGGCTTCGTGTCCAAGGCTGTTATATGATCCTGCGCGGGGTGTGCATAATAATTCTCATGGTGAGTGCAATAATGCTTTTGGTGCGTATAATAATGCTCATGCATGCAAAATCTGGGGCCGTTCAACGGCCCTACGCCGTGCGATTTTGGTTTTCTGCTACATGTATCTAGACGTTTTGGAAAGGGGGGCCCGCGGAAGGGAGTCGGGCCACGATAGAGGCTGGGCCTCGGGTTCCCGGGCCATTTTTTTTTCCAGGTTTTCAAGGGAGGGTTTGCCTGTGTGGCGGGAGCTCTACTGTAGCTAATATCACTAGCTATCCCTGAAACTTAAAGGCTGCCGGTTCTTTTTTTTGGGGGGCCTGGTTTTTTTCCGGGACCTCGCCCATACGCGCCCCAAGTGGGTTTAAGCTAGGGGGCGGTCTTAAGTTGGGAACCCAAAGCCCGTAGTTCGGGAAACCCCCATGCAAAAAGTGGTCTGATTTTCTTGCATGCTCTTTCACGCTTGGCATGATGCTCTAGCAGATGCTTCTAGACTTGCAGTTTTTCGCAAGATCGTATGGTTTTGCACAAGTGCTGCATCTATGGCAGAACCATGATAACGTCAGTGCGCGGATCGGCCAGAGCGATGATAACATCCGCTGTCCAGCGCGTGGGATTGGCCACAGCACCCATGGCCGGAACCATGATGACGTCCGTGCTGCCATTGCATGGGATTGGCCACAGTGATGATAACGTCCGCGTTACCAGTGCGAGGGATTGGCCAGAGCGTCCATGCCCGCAGCATGATAATTGCCGTGATACCAGCGCATGGGATTGGCCAGAGCGATGCTAACGTCCGTGTTACCAGTACGTGGGTTTGGCCACACCACCCATGCCATGATAACATGGGATTGGCCAGAGTGTGATGATCACGTCCGTGTTACCAGTGCGTGACACTGGCCAAAGCATGCATGGCTGAACCATGATAACGTCCGTGTTACCAGTGCGTGAGATTGGGCAGAGCGTCGATAACATCCGTGTTACCAGTGCGTGGGATTGTCGAAACATGATGACGTCTGTGTTACAAGTGCGTGGGATTGGCCAGAGCCATGATAACGTCCGTGTTCCCAGTGCGTGGGATTGGTCACAGCATTCCCCTTCCCCCCCTCCCCCCCCCCCTTCCCCCCCCCCCCCCCCCCCTCCCCCCCCCCTCGTCATATGGGTTGTAGGACGGGCAGATGGCAAAGGGATGGAGGGCCTAGCAGGTGGGCAATGCTCTGTCAACCTTTTGTGCACTGTTGCTTTCGGTCTGAGGGGCAGGTGGTGCATCGACTCCTGCCCAAGTGCTCCAAGCTTCGTGAAAATTTTGGACCAAGTCAGCATGTCGGTCTTCGTAAAGGACAGAAGGGTTACGGCATGATAGATTTGAGTGGGACCCAGCCAACACTTGCATATGCAAAAGCGGTTGCACTGAAAGACATGCTGGTGTTGATTGAACATGGCTGCAATGTTTCATTGAACAAATGAAAAGCACAACGGCTGCGTTGCATCAAGAGCAGCGTACACCAAAGCATGAAAGGTACTGTGACATGTTCAGATGGCACATTTGCCGAGCTTTGTGGCAGGCAAATCTTAGGCGTCGATGTCAGATTCGGTGCTTGATTACGGTGGGAGTGTCGCTTGATGGCGATGGGATGGCCCATGCTCCATTGTTTCCGCCCGATGGTTGTAGCTGATTCGCTGGTCGAGCATTTGCATGAAGATAAGTCAATCCGATTCACCGTAGTAAGTGGGTTGGCGGCCGCGGAACCATGTAATAATTCAGGAACGCCGCGACGGGCGAGACACGAGCGTGACAAGTTTGGACTTCAGACTGTTGCATTGAAAGAAAGCACAACGGAAATCCACTGACAGCAACGTCAAAAGAAACCAGAAAGTACTGATGAACTATGTTGCATAGTGTAGCTTGCCTCGGGATCCGCAGAGAACACTTGCTGGTGAAGTCTGCTTTTCCACACGATCATTGTGATCATTCAATGCCCCAAGGAATCAAACGGAATCAGTCACCAGAGTCGTACGCTCAAAGGATTGCGACATGTCAGGGTTCTGGGAGCCTCCCGGCTCGAAACGAAGAGAAACAACCCCTCAGCTTGCTGACAGCGTTTGGCGAGTTGCTGTTTGTGGGCGCTACTGTCAAGTGAGCGAAAACCTATGAGTCAGTTGCAATGACAGGTGCGTGGACACTAATGCGGGGAATTCTAGGTTAGTGCAGGAAAACGGTAGTATCAACCTAGAAGCTCCCAGCATTGCAATCCGTGGCGGCTTACGTTTGTGCCTCAGTAATGGTTTGTTCCCATTGCGTCAACATGCGTCAACGATGTACTGCCGTTGATTGCAGTTGATGATTGCGGACGGCGGCCCACCAAGCTCGGACGCGACACTTCCACAACTTCCAAAAGCACTGACAGGTCGCGCGAATGTTGCACCGTCTCGATGGGGTACCGGAGCTTACGCGGGTCCTCGGTGGAAGGAGTATTTGCAATTGCTTTAAGTTGCCATGTAGTTCAGTACGCATATGCAGCGGGCTGCAGTACACTCACTCGAAGAGAGAACCATCATGCAAGGGTAGCCGCATTACTATAAAGCACCAGGACATCCATTGACGGATTAGATCTGACCGGTGAATGCAAATAGTTTTCTACTTGGTAATCGATGAATGATCTCTATGAAAATCATACGAGTTCCTACAAGCTGCGATGGCACAGGAAGTAAAGTGGTAGACGGCAAGACTGCGCAAAAGGCCTCTCGCATCTCCTGTACGCCTGCCTGTATGTGGGCTCGGCTTTGTATGGTTGAGTTTGCATGTTGGTTTTGTTGGATGATTTCCCAAGTCCAACTTATACAGTCCAAAGAATGTGGGTGGGGCAAACCTATGCGATTCTGGGGCTTGAATACACTCTCTGATCTCGAGCTTTGCCTGCAATGCTTGGCGCGAATTCGGTGAGCTCAAGCTCCCAAGAATCATCTCCGACCCTTTTTTCGGATGCTTGCATTGCCAAGGCATGAACACAATGTGTTGAGCGGGTTTAAAGTGGATGTGCCGATGCTTTTTCTCAGGTCGAGACATGTTCGTGCTTGTTGGTAGTTTCGGTATGTGCATGGCAGCGTTAGAAGAACTCTTCGTGCAGTTTGTGCAATAAGTGGCGCTCAGATGGCGGTTTCGAGTAAAGCTCGATTTGCCCCATGACTTCCGATGCCGCTTGCCCGTTGTGGGAGACGACCGTCGTGGCATGAGATTTGAGCAGGCGCGATCCAAAGCATCCAAAGCATCTTTCATCAAGGTTCGACATACTGTTTCGAGTTGATGCGAAGGTGTGGAGAGCACCATTTGTTCGCGCCCTACAGGCCCTACAGTATTAAGTTGGAAATCAGTTTCATGGTTGCCATTGCTATCATTGCTTTCACCATCCAGATTTGAACGTGTTACAACAAGTGCTCAGTGCGCAAGGACATGGCGATATGCAGAGTAGCATGTCACAGTTGCATGGGCAACAGCAGATGGTAGAAAGTAGCCAGACATGTCGTCTATTGTCTGTTCGAGGGTGGTGACAGGGAGCATTCAATGTGCAATCGTTACACACGACATGTATGGGCTAACTGGTTGGGAAGATCCATAAAGTTGTGCAGCCTCGCAGCTCGTGCCGTTATCCATGGCTATTGACATGGCCACAACCGATGCTGATGTTCATGAGGTGCCATTATTTGTTGGGATTGCCTACAGTTTGCACTGCAAGAAGTACTTCCATTCAGGCAAGCGACTGCCAGGACGCGTGGCTCGCCTAGAAGAACAACCTCTTCTTATTTGCCGCATGCCTCTAACTTGGTTCTCAGGTACAGCCTGGCGCGGGAATTCTACGATGCTTACAAGAAGTACGCAGCTCTCGTCCAACCAGGGGTTGGTCCTTGTGAGCAGCAAGAACTTGATGCCCTGACGCTTGTTCAGCGATATTCGCCGACTACATTCTTCACCACCGTTTGGTTTGTTTGGCTGCTTCTTGGACCTAGGACACTTCAGCTGAAATCGATTGCTCACCATGTCATGCAGCTCAAGCTGTTCTCGCCAAATGAAGAGCTGGATGACATCAGTAGCACTGTCGCCAATTCAGTGATTCTGGTTTAGATTCTAGAGGCCATGGCTTTCACGTACGTGTCTTGCCAGGTACAGCTGATCTCAAGTACATGCTTGTTCCGTATCTGCTTGGTGAAGTGGCTGGGATGAAGGTTCAATGTGCTGTTCCTTCCCTGTATCGTCGTTAGCACGATGAGGGTCCGTGGAAACATAGTGTCTGACAGCTTCAACACATGCTAAAAGGAACGCGACATTGTGTTGGCAACTTTCTCAAAACTTTTTACTTCGGATTTGCCTTGGTAGGTTCATGTGTGCCGGTTCCCGCATTGTGTTGGACCCCGACGCAAAGAATTCTCAGCTGGATTTGACATGCGCCAATCGGCCAGCGCAATGTGCAAACAGAGCAGAAGATTTGCAGGCTGAAGGTTTTGTCGAACACCTCCTTTCGTTTGCTATTCCCGGCTGGCGCTTGAGCCAGCATGAACATGGCCTGTCTGAGCATGTGAAACGCCATGCTGGTGCAGAGTCTGAAAAGATCCAGCCCACCCGAATGGACAAATCCAAAAGTCCGAGTCGGCAGATTGCATGCAAGAGTTGGCACGGTGTCGACGGAGTTACCCAAGAATTTGGCTTTGTTTTTGTTTGATTCAGCAATGCAATAAATATTGACGGTCATACGAGCTTGACTCTGAACAGCAAGCTCCGCCCTGATTGGAAAAACGAATTCCGTGCTAGGTCACATATACCAAGTCCAAACCAAAAGACGATGCAGCCTTGCCATTATTACTGCTACTGCTACTGCTCCTGCTCCTGCTCCTGCTCCTGGTCCTTCTCCTGCAGCTGCTGCTCCTGCTCCTGCTGCTGCTGCTGCTGCTGCTGCTGCTGCTGCTGCTGCTGCTGCTGCTGCTGCTGCTGCTCTGCTGCCGACTTTCTCACAACAGCCGTGAACGCTGTCATTTACAGTGTTTTCTGCACGTGCACTGACAGTGTGGAAGTGCCGGTATTTACAGTGTTTTTTGCACTTGCATTTTTGCATTCTCCGATGTCGATGTTTTTGGAGACATGCCCCCCTTGAACCACCTACTTAGGGTTTAGGGTTTAGGGTTTTTAGGGTTTTTAGGGTTTATAGGGTTTAGGGTTTAGGGTTTAGGGTTTAGAGCGAAAAGTGCGTGTGACCATGTTTTTGCACCTCTTCTTTCACATGCTTCTTCACATAGACCTCTCTCTCGGGTTAGCCTTGCATGTCCTATGAGGGCCTTTCATCTCCTATGAGGGCCTTGCATTTCCCGAGTGGCACGTCGTAGCGAGCGGATTCGCCGGCCCGCCGTCATCCACTGGCGCCTCACGTGAGAGCGCCCGGAGTGAAAGATGAGGCGCTTTGTGTGTGCCTGGATGTCCTGGAACCACATGCGTCTGGACGTCGGGCACCGCAGCCGTTTCCAACGTGCCGTGGCACCGGCTTCACCTCGAGTGCCTTGTCCCGCTCATCAGACTTGCTGTGCCCGCGGCTGCGAGCCAGAGGGGCCCCGGCACGACGCGGCGTTGCGCGATGTGTGAGCACGAGGGAGTGGGGATGCCTTTTTCGCCTCTCCGGAGAGGAAACCGTGCAGGGCAGTCCAGGATCATGCGCTCCGCACTTTTGCAGATGCCCCCGAGCCACGGCCGCCGCGGGGTGTTGCTGTTTTGTGCTGCAACCAGGTCGCGGCAGTCGGGCGTGCTGGAGGCGTCGACTTCGTCAGGTTGCCGCGAAATATGCAGTGGGCACGAAGCTGGCATAGCCGCATGGCTGCCTCTGTGGGTGTGCCCTGGTTGCGCCCGCGAGATCCGGCGGGTTAATCTTCCAGTGCCCGCGCATCGGTGTGGTGGGTGCGGAACCAGTTGCGCTGGGAGTACGACCGGGCTGTTGGACAGGGGCCCCTCCACTGCACGCACGGGTGCACACAGCAGAGGCGCCAGTCGACCCGGGCCCAGCTTCTCCCACATGCTTTGCCATGCAGCCGGCACGACATGTGGGGGAGCACCAATTCCTGGCTGCACGTGCCGGTTCTGCACGCCGCGGCAGCGGACCGTCGAGGCTGCGCCAGCATTGTTGCTCGCCTGGTGGAGGCGGGTCTGCCTCGTACTGGTCCACCTGGGTTGGGCGGTACGCCAATTGCGTGAGCCCAATGGCTACCTCCTGGCCCCCATGCATGCTGGAGTGTTACGGAGGCTTCGCGTGGCATCGGCGCTGGATCACCAGTCAGACCGGTTTCGCCCGGAGCCGCAGCCGCCGTCCGGTCCTGAGCATTCGGTCATCGGGGTGTCCTCCGACGCCGCAGCATCAGCGCGGCTCGGCCCTCTGGTGCCGGTCTGAAGACCACGACCCAGGAGCAAGCGAGGCAACAGGAGGAAGAGTTTCCAGGCGCGCACGCTCATCATCCCGGCCGATATGCACCGAGCGGACGGCCTCCAGCGCGGGCAACGGGGACATGACGAACGCCGACGATGAGGAAACGGGGCACTGTTTGCAGTGTTGGCACGGGGCGCCGGAGCACTGCCTGGAGACCCGAACCATGCAGCTACTCCGGCACGGCAGCCTCCAAGATCTGAACGCGCAGACTGCGCGCACAGACGCTCACAGCAGGCGCTTGCCCCTGGCGACGATCGCACGTTGCGGGCGCTGACGGACTGTGATCGTCGGCCGCCGCAGCTGCTGTGGCCCCTGTCGCCTAACGTCCCTGCGTGCCAAGCTGCGGAAGAAGTCGCGCTGACCGATGCCGACGCCCTGCGCAGCTCCAAGTGCGGGCTGGGCGTGGGTTTGTCGGAGTCCCCGTCAAACTGTAAAAACTGCTCGCCGACGATGCCGCGGCGCTGGAGTTGTTCACGTTCGGTCAATGTCGACTTCGAAGATGGGCGCTCCGCTCGCCATAGTGTGTGAAGTCGTGCCGCTTCTGCGCATTGCAATCCGTCTCATTCGCACATGCCTTGCTGGAGTGCCCTGCGCATAGTCAAGCGCATGCAGGTGTGCCGTGGAGCTGCTGCTTGCGAGATGTGATGTTTGTCAGCATGCTGCGCTGCCTTGCCGATACGGTGTGTAACATATGAGTGCCTTTTCTTTTTCTGCGTGGTCATGATGTACAATACACCGCGAACCTTGACAGCTTCACAACCCTCGGTGGTTTTACTGATGCTTGCGAGTTTTGTTTTTGTGGTGCTGCTGTGAATTTGCGTGTTTTGTGCACTCTTGCATGTTCGCATGGAGCCCCGTAGTTCGCGCTCGATGCGATCGTCTCACTGCTCGCCGCACGCCTGGCGGGGGCGACGGGGCATTGCCACAGGGGACGTGTTAAACGTGTTCCGCCGGCTCGCACACGCGTCTGTCTTTGCTTTTGGCAAGGCCACCCACCCGATCTAGTTTGAGCTGCAACCGCGCGCAGGCACGGACAGCCTGGCGGCAATGCTGCGTGCAGCTGTCGAGCTTGACCTGTGGCCACGGTCGTTTTTTTTTTTAATTTTTTCTCGATGGACGCAGTGCGTGCGACACTATCCGTCGCGGTGCTATCCTGAACAAGCTCCGGTCCACTGTCCCGGCCCTGCTGCCCTTCTACGCGCGTACTTCCACCTACCACATGGCAAGTAAGCTAAATCAGACCACAAATTATATCCAGGGAAAGTAAATCGGACGAAAGTGCCCTTGCTGTGCCCCACGCTGCACTGATACATACTGATACGATGCGCCAGCTCTGTTTGATGGGCGTCGAAGGTCGCCACAAATGTTCCGTCCACGGTACGTACGTGTGTCTCCGTCACTGAAAACCTGGATCATGCCACCGCCAACGTCAATGTACGCAACCTTTGGCGAAGTGGCTGTTGTGAGGATGACGGCACCATTTTTGCCAGCCCGCAGCGAGCCTTGGATCTTGTTCGGAGATCCTTCGCTCAGCGCTCCAACCCGGCTAGCACGCAGGAGCACGCAAATCGACATGATGCTGCGGTCTTGAGGATTCTTGAGGTGCCTTCTCACTTTGTTCGTGGATGCCGCGGAGGGCCTGCCCGGGCAAGTCGCGGCCCGTGAGCATCTGGCCCTGCCGTGCAGTGAACACGCGGGCCGCGTACAGTCCTGCCTGCGAGTTAAGTAGGGCGGCGGCGGAGGTGGGATGCTGCACGCTGCCAGGCCCGCGTGTTGTCAAGCTGTGGGTCGCCTGGGATGGGGGAGGGGGGCGGGGCGCGGCTTCTGTCCGCGAAGCAAACGGAGAGGCGCGGGCATCCTGGAGTGGCAGCAGTGCCTCTGTGAGCTTGGGCTGCACGAAGGGCGAAAAGGCCCAAGACGCCCAGAAAGCCGCCGGCGCATGGCGGACTGCAGTCACGGAAGCGAGATGCCGGTGTCGCCGACCACATGATGCACTCGGAGATCACCGATGATCACCGTGCCGCTTGTCCTGTTGCGCTCGTGTGGGGGCCCACCTTTGCCAGTAAAAAAAAAAGCTGCCGGAGCTCCGAGAGCGAGCTGTGATTCCTTTGAGCGATGATGCGGCAATGGCCCGGAGCATCCCACCAACAGTACGTGGATGGCTTCCCGTAAAAAAGCGGCACGAAACGGGACCAACTCCGGCGCGACCGTTTGCAGCGCCGCCCGTCGGCGGAAACAAGACTGTCTCATCGCCCAGCTCTAGTCGCTGCCAGCACGGACACATCGCCAGTCACGATGCCGCACGTGAGGCGGCGGCGAGCCTTCTCCACGGTCCGCGTGCTGGGCCCCGCGTGCATTGTCCGCGATGTCTCGCGTTGCGACGGCGCCACGAACGCCAGCATACGATTCGAACCAAGCTGACTGCGCCACCGCCCTCAGGTAACCGTCAAGCTATTCCTCACGGAGTATCGGTGTGTGTGCACTGGTCTTTTCTTGGGCCCTCAGGCTCGGCGAGACTGCAAATCCGGGAGGTGTGGCAGGTGGTCCCGCAAGGCCTGCGCAGGGCCAGCCATTCCGTAGGAGTTGCCAGCAAGCCTCGTGATTCCTCAGCCGCGACTTCATATGGTCAAAACGATTCCAAATGACAAGGTTGCCGTGCTGCAGGCCCAAAACCCAGGCCGTTTCCTTCCCGAGTATGGCGAGCTGTGGCCAGAGTGTGCCGGGAGGCGGGCGCCACTGTTGCGACGCATGTCCTCGTGCGGGATCTAAACGCGGCCCTTGTCCGCCCGGATGAGGGATGCATAGAGGTCATAGCAAACGGCTTGCCCTTGTGGGGCGGTGTGCAGCTGGCCGTTGACAACATATTGGTGCCGCCCCTCAACGCAGCTGGCATCCCACGCCGAGACGGAGGCCATCGCAGGCCGCACGGCAGCGGCAGCCCTGCATGTCGTTGAACGCGCCAAAGCCCGGACATGCTTGCTGCCGGTCGCCGCCCGACTTCTTGCTCTGCGCCCTCTGCGCAGCGGGCTGCATGCGTTGGTCTGCGCTGCTGGCCTTGCGGCCGGGCGGTCCTTTGCAGCCAGCCTCCTTTCCCTTCCACTGTCCGGCACGGCCAATGTGGATGGCGACACACTGCTGCTCAGCGAAGTCCTTGCTAATTTTCCGAGCAGCCTCCCCTCACCACTCGCATGCCGCAATCAGCAAGAGCTTGTCCGGCCCGGACCGCTAAGGGGCTCGTGGTGCTGGCATCTGAGGTCGGTGGGCGATGCGGGCGTTGGGGCAGCGAGGCCCACGATCTCCTGCGTCGCCTCGTTCGCGTGCGGTCCCTCTGGCGGCGCCGCTGGTGGGGCTTCCTGAGCTGCGCGCAGCACCGCGCGCTAGCGTCCACGCTGTTGGGCGGCATCTGGCGCGCGCCAGCGCAGCCGGGCGGCGATGGGCAGCCGACGCTCAGCGAAGTTGTCGAGCTTGCCGAACCGGTGCTGCCCTCTCTGCTGCCGCTGCGCGACGCGTTGGAGCGGGAAGGGCAGACTGGACACTTCCTGGCTGAAAAAGGTGCGCGAAAAAAAACTCTGTTTGCTGCCGGGGAGTTGGGCACATGCACTGTGACCGCGATTTGGACGGACGTAAAAGAGAAGCGGAGGGGCAAAAAATGCAGGCCATGCTGGGGAGTGCACGTGATTTTTGGCTCGTCACGAGCGCACATCGTGATCAGTTTGGAAAACCCTCCTGTGGCGGTTCGTCCGGCTGCGTGCTGCACGTGCGCCACCCGCAGTCCGCGGAGCTGCCGCGGAAGGCTGGGCGAGCCGGTGGTGGGGCGTCCTTGCAGTGGCTGTGCAGCGCGCTGCAGCGCCGTTCTGGAAAGGTGGACGATGCCTGCCCTCCCGACGGCTGAGGTCCCCGTCCCCTTGGCGGACATCCTGGCGCAGGCCCCGGAGGCCCCGCCCAGCAGGTTGGGGTTGCTGTGAGCGGGCCTTTCACTCACTCCCACCCCCCCGCCCCCCGATCCTACGACGGCATTGACGTAGCGGGCGGAAAAAGGAGCTAGAACAAAAAAAAACTCGTTCGTTTCGTCGGCCACATCATCATTGCAAATCTGCGACCATGCAGATTGAACATCAACAAACACGCGCGACACGAATAATGAAGCCGCCCCTGGCCATTGTTTGTGCATGATCACATCGTGGCTGCAAACCTTAGAGAGACATGTCCTTGAACGATCGTGTGTCACGATCAGAACTGAAGCCGAGTCGAGTCGAGTCGAAACCTGATCGCCCGAAGGCGTCCCCTTTAGGGTACAGGTGAAACGTTCTATAGGCACCTTTTATGCAGATTCATGCCCCATCACAAATTTGCAAAAATCATCGCGTGACTCATTCCACATATTGTTGTTCATAGCTGCTGTTTCCCAGGTGGCCCAGCGTTGGAAGCGAGCAAAATTCTCTAGGCAAGTCATCCACATGCTGCCGCGTCTACCGGGGTTAGGCCGCCCCATCGGCTGCCACTTCAAAGCACGTTTAACCCATCTTGCATCAGGCAAGTTGGCAATGTGTCTCGCAAAATTCCAAGAAGAATGCAAACAAAGTTGTCCCCATGTAGGCCGTCGCAAAGCTTCCCAACACCGCAACGCTTTCATGTTCCACTGGTGTAGGATGTGGTGCCACGGCATGTCCCATTGGACGTCGGATGGAGGACCAACAATGCGCCGCAAAAACTTTCTGAAGACAACATCATGATGGCGAACGATCAGAACTGAAAGTGAGACAATATGTCAAACACAAACATCAAGGAATGCGACGTAAATCAACCATAAAATCAAACCAACAATTCCGACATGATTTAAGCAAACATGACAATGTCAAAACACTACTAACATTCAGACGCATATCATAGATATTGTGTGAAAGTGCCACTCAGGAAGCGCACTCACATCTCACACGCCGCAGCGGCAAGGCATACATGAGCCACAAATGCAACATTGCGCGCGATGCTGCGTGTGGCATTGACATGGGGCTCCGTGCTGAACAATGTGTCCAGAGACAACGCGTTGCGCATGTGACGGCGCCATCGCTGGCGCGCATGATTGTGCGCAGTGCAACCCAACAGAGCATGCTGGAGTGAGTCAGTGGCGGAAGCACAAAATCGACAAGGTCGCACGCCACGATGGCGCGCAGAGCGGCCATCCGAAAAGTCATGATGCCTTGAGCGGGGTCGATGGACTTCCCATAAAGTACTGCATGGAGGTGTGGACGTGGTGGCCACCGCAAGTAATTTTGTAGGGATTCTGTGCTTTGAAGAGCCGCTTGGTAGCGTGCATGGCAATGTAAGGTGCCTGTGGCTTTGACATGCATCAACCAGCGGACGGCCACATTGTTGGGCGCACCGGGGCGAAGGCCAAACGAGTGCGGGTGTGGGATATCCAAGGATGCCAACTCATCCTGAACGGAAGCTATCCAAGAAGACCTTTGTGAAGCAGCATGATGCATGATTCGCCTGGCGACGCTCCTTGCAGGCATGCAGATGAGACGGGCCCACATACCTGCGGCATGTAGCAAGCGTTCTGCCGACAAGTCCAAGCACCCCAGTTGTCCCTGAACGACAACAGAAGGGGCCCCATGCGGCCACATGAGCAAGCGACGTTCCCACCTTAACAATCGGGTCTGTAGGCGTGCGAGCTGTGCGCCATCTGGTACAAAGGCAAGGCCGTACAGCGCACTGGGGCAAACGTAGGACCGGAAAATTCTGTGGGTAAAGCTCACGGGCAGTAGTGCTGATGCAGTCCAGGAAAGGCGAGCTGCCATTTTGCGTTTTCCGCGTTTCATAAGGTGATCAACGTGCTGTCAAAAAAAAATTACACTGAAACGCCTTCGCACGCCCCAACACATGTCAATGTTTGGCAAAAACACGTGGGTTTGCATGAACACTTGTGTATGTATTTGTTTATTTATTTACTTTTCTATTTATGTACTTATGCATGTACTTATTTTCGTATTTATTTTTGTTAATGTTATTGATTTGTTTTGATTTGTTTTTAATTAATTATTTTGTTACTTGTTTGTTGTATTTGCTAAACAATTCCCGGGTCCAGTTGTGTTTTTTAAAGTTTTTGCCCGGATTATTTTGTAGTGTATTATATTGCCGTGTTAGGATAGTATGATGATTGAGGTAAAGAATGCACGTTTGTTATTGTCATAATGTTACAATACGTGGGCTCTTCGTTGCTTTCCGAATTTTTGCTTGTTGTTCAATTGAATTCATGCGTCGTTCATATCTTCACTCCTTAGAACTCGATTACACAAAAAAAGAAAAATTCGAATGAAGAACCCAATAAAATATACGGTTAAACCTCATTTCTTGCATTGAGCAAATTGATTGTACGGGCTTTTGGTATATTTTTTGCGTGCCTTTTTTAAAGATTCATGGAGTGGCCTGTTATTACGTTCATGAATTCATTATTTCATGCTTCCAGCATTCACGGACCCCCTTTCCCCCCCCCTCCCCCTCATAGTGGGTTCTGGGTAGGGTGAGGATTACCTTACGAATTTGGGCCCAAGAGTTTGGGCTGGAGTGGCCGTGGCGAAAAAAATGCAGGGGAAACATATTTCTTGCGAGATGAGACGTATCCTTGCCCCACTGCATATGCTTGATTGGATCTCAGGTGGCAGCAGCTACACGAGACATGGCCGAGCGTGGGTCGCGCCTCCAGGGTGCTTTGGTGTACTGGCGTGCTTCGGCTTATTCGGAACCCACAGCAATTCCACAGCACAGGAATCTGTGGGGCCAATGTTGCCAAGTTGTCCTTGCAGGTGCGTTTGCTGCAGACTGCCACCGCCTAGCTGTGGGACATGCGGACGATCACCGTTTCCTGATCCAGGATGTAGGGATTGGGCAAGACACGCAATGGTGAAGCCGATTTGGTTTCCATCCAGCCGGACGGCCAGGATCAGCCATCACAGGATGCGTCGGTACGTCGCGACGAGAAAATTGCACGCCACAAGCGGTGCAAAGAGCTGGATGAGAAGGTGCAATATATGTGCCTCTGCGCCAAATTTTTGTTGCAACGCAGCTTATGGCAACAACACCACATGTTGGGAGACAATGAGGTTTGGCAAAAAACGGGAATGCTTTGGAGATGAGCATGCTTGGGGAACCAACAGCGCCTTCGACGAAGACATGGCTGCTGGAATGCAAACGTGCTTAGCGCTGGCAGTTGTTCGGCTTGCAGCAACCACAGTCAACCGTGAACAATCGTGTGCATCTGAAGGAGCGCGACTTGATCATCATGCTGTTGCGCAGAGCTGTTGCTTCGGAGCCTAGCCTGCAACTTGAAAAAAGTGGCAGGCGACAGGCATGTTTGATGTTGACAGGCCATCGGTGTATGCTAGTGACAGAGGCAGGTTTCAACCAAGGTGCCCGACAGCATTTCCTCAGCAGAGCAGGAACTACCCTTGTTGGAGATGATGGTGGCCTACAGCTCAGTGTTGTTTCAAGCCAGCATAAATCATTGACACAGTTTTAGGAGTTCTCTAGCATTTGCCTCGCTGCATCCTGAGGCTCAGGGAGGTCCGGGCAGAAAGACAATTGAACCCGAGCGGCCTGTTGCAAAGCCTGTGTGCGTCCGGATCCAGGCAGGCGAGCAAGAATGACATCGTAACGTCATCGTATGCTCAAATCCTAGTTTCTGCCAGCAGGACAAAGCAGAATTGCAAAGACTCTACAGAGAAATGGACCGCGCCTTACAACCCGCCGGAGTTCACGGAGAGATATGGGGGTTGGAGAGATATGGAGAGAGTTTCTCGATGAATGGGCAGCCAGGTTTTTCAATGTCCTCATCCACTGGCCACCATGTCCATAGAGGAAGCAGCGGACATGGAGATAAAGGAAATGCGTGAAATTGAGGCAAGTCAATCGCTTACATCTTGAATGATCGACAAGGCTGCAGTTTATGAGCGTGGAAAGTGGCTGTTGTGAGGCTGCTCGTGCACGGCGTCAAGTTGAGGAGCAAGCGAGCAATGCAGAAAGATGGTGCTCTGCCATTTGTTCAGTTTCGTAGGCAGAGTTTTTTCCATGATACAGACAAATCTAGCTCGTGACCAGTTCTTCTGAGGTGGGATGGCGACCGTTATGGAGCAAAGGAGGAGTGGGAAGAACATCAGAAGCAGCAAGCTCAGGGCTAGGAATAGGAACGCGCCCGGGCACGCGCACGGGAGCGTTTGCGCATGTGTTGAAGGGTGCTTTGACGCCGTTCCCTCGATTGCTTTGTGCGTCCCGTGGAGGTTGTACAAGGATCGGGACTCTTTGCTGCAACATGCTGCAACGACGCCCGAAGCCTTAGTTTGTAACACGCCGTGACCAAGCTGAGTAGCCGTGACACTCAGGATTTTGACGAGTTCAAAGACGAGCACCCATGGGGATCAGGAAACAAAATGGCCAACGTAGGATAGTGGCATAGTAGTTCCTGCGATCCTTGCCAGTGTGGCGAAAGCCATGCGCCATGAAACTGGGCAGATGGCACATTGCGTGTACAGATCTTGTCCAGCTGTCTCCCTTCAGCACCATGCAGTCCGAGCACGCCCAACCTTTGGGTGACGGATCTTGAAACAAAGGCTCATGCATGCTTCGCTTTACGGAGGCTCCAGAGCAAGCTAGGGTCTATACATGTCTGTTGGAAGCAGCAAGCTGTGAGAAAGGAAACCCTGCGTTGTTCTTGCAGACAGAATGAAAGAACGAAAGACAAGAAAGAAAGACAGACAAACGAAAGAACAAAAGAGAAAGTAATAGCCAAAGACATGCAGCGAGCAAACAAACAACCAATACAGAAATAGATGCAGAAATAAAAAGAGAAATGTATACGGAATCATGCACGAAGAAGAGACGATGACCACTACCACTGCTTACTTCTCCTGCTGCTGTTCCTCCCACTACTACTACTACTACTACTACTACTACTACTACTACTACTACTACTACTACTACTACTACTACTACTACTACTACTACTACTACTACTACTACTACTACTACTACGACTACTACGACGACTACTACGACTACTACTACGACTACTACTACGACTACGACTACAACTACTACTACGACTACTGCTACGACTACTGCTACGACTACTGCTACGATTGCTACGACGACGACTGCTACTACAACTACTGCTACTACTGCTACTACTACTACTACTACTACTACTACTACTACTACTACTACTACTACTCTTGCTGCTACTACTGCTACTACTACTACTACTACTACTACTACCACCTACCACCTACTACCTACTACTACTACTACTATTACTACTACTACTCCTCCTGCTACTACTACTACTACTACTACTACTACTACTACTACTACTACTACTACTACTACTACTACTACTACTACTACTACTACTACTACTACTACTACTACTACTACTACTACTACTACTACTACTACTACTACTACTACTACTACTACTACTACTACTACTACTACTACTACTACTACTACTACTACTACTACTACTACTACTACTACTACTACTACTACTACTACTACTACGACTACTACTACTACTACTACTACTACTACTACTACTACTACTACTACTACTACTACTACTACTACTACTACTACTACTACTACTACTACTACTACTACTACTACTACTACTACTACTACTACTACTACTACTACTACTACTACTACTACTACTACTACTACTACTACTACTACTACTACTACTACTACTACTACGCCGCCACCCCCCCCCCCCCCCCCCCCCCCCTAGCCGCGCCCCCCCCCCCCCCACCCCCCCCACCCCCCCCACGACCAACTACCATGTACAAAGTAACTGGCAGGCGTGGTACGGGAAGCACTTGCCAAGCATTGGTTTTTACTTCTCCGGATCAGACGTTGGACATAGAAAAACGCTCAAAACCCGAATTTTGGACGTCATTTTTTTTTTAGTTGTTCGTTGTGCGCTGGTTTCAGGTTTTGGGTTCAGGGTTGAGGCTTTCGGGCTTTGCAAAACTCTGGCTGTTTTGGGTTTGGGGTTGAATCCGGGTTGAAAAACAGCAGATGGAGCTTTGGCATGAAGGTTTCGGCTTTGGGTGAAAAACAGGAGATGGAGCTTTAGCATGAAGTCTTGGGCAGGAACGTAATTACCCCCCCCAGCCTTGGCAGGAACGTAATTACCCCCCCCCCCCCCCCACCCTCCCCCCCCCACCCCCCCCCCCCCACCCCGCCCCCCCCCACCCACCACGCACTGGGAACACGGATGTTAGCATTGGCATGAAGGTTTCGGCTTCGGGTGAAAAACACGAGATGGAGCTTTGGCATGAAGGTTTCGGCTTCGAGTGAAAATCACGAGATGGAGCTTTGGCATGAAGGTTTCGGCTTCGGGTGAAAAACAGGAGATGGAGCTTTGGCATGAAGCCTTGGCAGGAACGTAATTACCCACCCCCCCCACTCACCCACCACGCACTGGGAACATGGATGTTAGCATTGGCATGAAGGTTTCAGCTTCTGGTGAAAAACACGAGATGGAGCTTTGGCATGAAGGTTTCGGCTTCGAGTAAAAAACAGGAGATGGAGCTTTGGCATGAAGCCTTGGCAGGAACGTAATTACCCCCCCCCACCCCCCCCCCACCCACCACGCACTGGGAACATGGATGTTAGCATTGGCATGAAGGTTTCAGCTTCTGGTGAAAAACAGGAGATGGAGCTTTGGCATGAAGGTTTCGGCTTCGGGTGAAAAACAGGAGATGGAGCTTTGGCATGAAGCCTTGGCAGGAACGTAATTACCCCCCACCCCACCCCCCCTCCACCCCCCCCCCCACCCACCACGCACTGGGAACATGGACGTTAGCATTGGCATGAAGGTTTCAGCTTCTGGTGAAAAATAGGAGATGGAGCTTTGGCATGAAGGTTTCGGCTTCGGGTGAAAAACAGGAGATGGAGTTTGGCATGAAGCCTTGGCAGGAACGTAATTACCCCCCCCCCCGCCGCCCCACCCACCACGCAGTGGGAACATGGATATTAGCATCCTGCTGGGTAGTTGGTAGGGGGGGGGTGCTACTACTACTACTACTACTACTACTACTACTACTACTACTACTACTACTACTACTACTACTACTACTACTACTATACTACTACTACTACTACTACTACTACTACTACTACTACTACTACTACTACTACTACTACTACTACTACTACTACTACTACTACTACTACTACTACTACTGCTGCTGCTGCTGCTGCTGCTGCTGCTATCGCTACTATTACTACTATTACTACGATTACTACGATTATTATGACGATTACTACAACAGCTACTCTTCCTACATTTTGCTTCAAGTGGCCTTGATCCAAACTGTCCCACCCGATCCATGCGCCCCGAAGCTTGAAAGCTCTATCTGGGGTCGCCTGCATTTGCATGTTGCGTAGTGCAGGGAAACTCTTGTGTGAGTCGACAAAGAGAAAGAGAGAGAGAGAGAGAGAGAGAGAGAGAGAGGAAGGTTGGTCTGGGCGCGCCCAGTGCGCAGGGGGCCCTTAGGGGTTCCTCAAGCCCGTAGAAGAAGAAGAAGAAGAAGAAGAAGAAGAAGAAGAAGAAGAAGAAGAAGAAGAAGAAGAAGAAGAAGAAGAAGAGGAAGGTTGAAACTCCGAAGACACGGAGATTTAGTTTGGGATGCTTGTCACACGGAAACATCGTATGGACACGCAACACAAATCTGGGGTAGAACGCTCCGTAAACGCACAGTGCTACTACTCTAACTGTTAATTCTGTTGTTACAATCCAAGTCCTTCCCGCTCGCATCGTGTTTGCAAATGGGGGGGCTCCCCCCATGCGCTGCTTTTGATGCTTTTTTGCAGCCGTGCAAGCATGCTTGGTAGAGAAGATGAAGGGTCAGTAGACGCCTACCTTTGCATTTGCTACAAAGGTTTCGCTTGTGGCTGCTGCCACGTGCGATTTTGACCGTGTCGATGGCAGCCAACTCTCCGCACAGGAAGTGTGGTTCTAGATGCTAGTGAAGTTTAGAAGTTTCTGTGTGATGTTCGGAAAAGTTGGAGGAGTTTCGAGATCGCTTTCGAACAGGCCCTTTGAGCGGCAGCCTCGGCTAGTGGGCACATTCCGTCGGCCCATGTCGGCCTTCTGGAAGACGATTGTTGCCAAGATGTGCGAAGTGCGAAGGTGCTGGCAAGCCAGTGGTTTTCACAAACATCCGCGATGGACTTGGTGCTTCAATCTGCTTTAGAGACACAGCCCAAGAAGTTTGGCTTGCAAGCTTGCTGGCTCGAGCCAATTGTCCATGGAAACTCTTGGCCATGTGCAGCTGTGCCTGGACGAAGGGGAAGCCATCCGAATAGCACAAGTTACAGATGTGCATCGCTTCCCAGAGAATGTCACATACTGGGATTGTCCTAAAGGTCGAAGGATTGACTTGACCAGTCGCGCTTACAGCACGACTGGTGATGTCGAGCTCCTGCAAGTTGTTTTGGGCCGATGCCAACCTCACCTGATCGTGTTTACAGGCGACATCATTGATGGACGACCCTTTGACACAGTCGATTCTTCGGCCTGGAGGGCAACGTTCCTGAAGCTCCTTGAGCCCGTCATTCAAGCCGGGCGTCTGGGCTCGCACATGCACGGGGTATGAGTCATTAGTTAACAGATGCTCAGCCATAGTGCTGGACTTGAACAGAGGCTGCCTTGGACCTACATCCCTGGTAACCACGATGACGACAGTGCACCATGGGGCCGAGCAGACCTGCTGCAGATCTACGATCTTCCTGGCTGCGCATCGCACGGTTCGAAGAGTTTCAACCACACCTTTACAATAGGCCCGGGCACGACCCCGACTGCCACAACATCCTTGCGATTGTGGCTCTTTGAGCTTCGGCGATGTTTGGTTGAATTAAATCGCAACTCTGGTCACGTGCCATTTATGGCCACTCTAGCCATGCACGAAGACCCTACAGGCTGCTTGTACTTTGGGTCCAGGACTCCGGGGGCAACAGCCCGGATCCTTCAATTGGAGTCTCAGCTGCTCTTATTCTACTGAGGTCCATCTGTTATCATCTCTCGCCATGCAGTTCGAGCAGGCATCTTCTCTGTGTTATGCACGCCAGGCTATGAAACCTTTGCTATCGATGCGGTGGAGGCATGCAAGGAGTTGTCAGCAAAGCTTGCACCATGTCCTGGCTTGGCGTACTTTCACATTCCGCGCCTTGCAGCATTCATCGTATGATCTATGCTTGAGATCTCTGTTGCTTTCCCGTTTGTTCTCCCATTTGGACAACTTAGCTTGCCTCTGTTGTTTAGGATTCTGCCTTGTCGATCAGCGTGTTGGCCAGTGCCGCACTCCACAGTGGTGTCGCTATGCATTGGCGTTGTCGGCCTCTGCCAAATGCAAGGTTGCCAGAATACGGGAATCTGGTGCCAGTGCATGGTACTCAAGGACTCTTTGATGCAGCGCTGCATGCCCCACGGCTCTCAAAATGCTCCCCTAAACCCAAAATAATGCGAGTTGTGCGGTTACCCCTGTGTTCGGTAACCTCTTTTTAACTTTTCCGTGATATAGCCCGCGATACAGCCGCGATTGGCGATCACGAAGTCACGTGACCGCTAATCACGGCTGTATCACGGGTTATGTAAAGTAATTTTTTTTGGAGGTAACGTGCGTGCGGGTACCGGGCCACTCTCTTTACAGAAGCACAAACAACGCAGGGTTACACTGGAGTGTAGTAGGCTGCTCCGACAACAGCGTTACGCTGCATCTGCTTTTGAAGTAACCTGCCGGCTCCGCACCTGTTTCTTCCCAGAAAGGCATATCTGTTGCAAATTGCCACGGCAACGTTGTGGCCGTTGATTTTCGTACAACTTGCGATATGGCATGGGATGTGCCATGCTGCCACGGAATGTAATGTGAAGGCAGCATAAGGCAGCCCGGTGTGTGGTGTGGCAACTGTCGAACGCTGCAGCTTCAGGCCGGCATGGTCCCTCGGCCATGGTGCTGGATGCCTTGGATAGTGCGAGCACTTGGCCGTCATCGCGTTGTTGGCTGTTCTAAGCTGAATAGCGGAGGCTTGACCTGTATCTCATACTCGTGCATCAGGGAGTATGTGTCGGTACCGACCTTGAAATACACGATTCTCGCAAGGACTGTTCAGCGTCCTTTTGGGCGCCAAAGGGCCTGTATTGGCGAGCTTCTGCGGCCATGATCACGCTAGCGACGAGCTTCGGCTGGCCAGATGCCGTAAGTCCGTAAGTCATGTGAAGGAAGATGTCCTGAGCTTGTTGCAGCTCAGGCGATATTTCAAAAGAATGGGCTTTATTTGTGCTATGGCCGAGCAGCTGGGCTGCAGCAGAAGTGGGGCGTCTCTGTTTTCCGGGACGGCGGAGCATGTGGGATGTGCTGGTTCCTGGAAGTATGTTTGCCGTTGGCGCAGCCGAAATGAATTGGATCGTTGGGAGGTGAGTGGAAGAACGCCTCCCATTGATTGGGAAGGTGATGCCCCTTTGCCGTTTGAGCCTGGCATACGATTGGTGAACGGCTCAGAAACATGGCACACACCATCCGAATTTTACAGTGTGTCGTGCTTGTCTGAGAGGTTGAGTACTCTGCCGGAGCATGCAGATTGGTGACCTGGATCGAAGTAGAGACTGGTGAGGAGCCAGGTAGCCGCTGTACCCTGGACGTGAGATGTGCATGATGTGCAACAAAACAGCAATGCCAATGCAGCTATACGTTGAGGCACGTGTCACAAATCGAATAGTGCAGTTCCTGTTGCTTTGCAGCTTTGTTTTTGGCTCATACCTGCTAGTAGTCTTGCAGAGCAGGGTGCCTGCGCTCAGTTGCTGCCTGAGATTCCAGAGATTGCCTTCAGCTGATCCTCTGCGACTCTGCGATGGAATTGTTTTACTTAATGGTGTTGCGTTCATGCGCTGGCTTCGTTGCTTATTTTGCTTTAGGCAATGGTGGTTGAGTCCGACGGGGCATGTGCTGCGCTTACCAGCTGTTCGACCGGTAGCCGGCGGAAGCTTTTTGATGGAATGAGCTGCAGGCGGATGCTTGGAGACAACGACTACTGGTACAGCACGCGGTGACAGCTGGGTGCAAGTTGGTGCAGGCAAGATGGTAACGCAGTTCTGCTGGTTGCTTGTTGTGGTGTGCGTGTTGTTTTCAGGCAAAGGATCCTACGAGAGAGTCACGAGCCTGAAGTTCGTCGGAGCTGGCAAGGGAAGCATTGACAAGGAGCTAAGCTGTGCCCGATCACCTTTGTTGTGGACGGGACATGGTGCAGCAGAGTGATTCAGTGACTGTACATGGCAGGGGGTTTGCACAGGTTTGCAGGTTCAGACAGGCGACGCATGCAGAACCGAGATCTGAATTTGTGGATGCAGGAGGTAGTTGTCTCTGGTCGCTTTGGTGGGGTGTTTGGCGCAGTGGTATGCGCAATGATGGTTCCAGTCGTGATAGGCCAGGCTGCTTCGCGCATTGCTTGCTCATGTATTGGCAGTTATTGGATGTTTCTCAAAGGCATGCCATGGCAATAAGCAGCTTCAAGGCTTGCTATGGATCCTTCTTCTTTCCAGAGCACCTGGACGAGACACAGGGCTTGACGTCGATGTCCCTGTTCCTCCTTCTGTACCAGACTGCGCCAGCTCCCAAGCTAGTCTTTTTGGGGTCTCGGAAACACAAGGCATTTAAAGGCGTTCACACAACAGAAGAGTGAACTCTGTTGCGGAATGAGGTGGATGGGTTCAGTGATTGGAAACACCGCTGGGACAAAGACACGAAGGAGTATTGCTGTCTGCACCATCAGAGAGGTTGTGCCGAGCCAAAAGTGAAGTACGTTCCGAAGGTGGTATATCATGACGAGTCGATCCCAGTCCCAGTCAAAGTTCATGTTCGGGTTCCAGTGCCGACTGTGGTGTCCAAGAACGTTGTCGTGGAGGAGCCGCCGCCGTACACTTGCAACGAAGAGTCACCTCTAGAAGGGTGGACTTCGCGACATCGGCGCTACTGTTGCTACCTAAAGAAGCTCGGATGCCGTCCGCAGATCGTTAACCACAATGTGTATCACAGAGTTGTCAAGGTCAAGAAAATCAAGGTGCCGCACTACTTGCCGCCCAAAGCCGCAGAGACAAAAATCAAGTACAAGACTATCCCGTATCCAGTGCCTGAAGTTCCCAAAGTTGAGGCCGTCACAGTGCCGGGCAAGGTCATTGTGAGGACCAGGTATGTCGAGGTGCCGAAGTTTGTGCATGTGCCAACGCCTGGTGATGTTGAGGTCGTGCGCAAACCTGTGGCCGTATCAGTGCCTTCGGAGCCAATTTACGTGAAGATGCCTCCCGAGTACCCTAGTCGCCCTAGTCACCACCGTCACTACGACTGCGATGCTGGATACTCCAACTGGTACTTCGGTTGGTCGAAGGTTAAGAAGAGGTGGTGTTGTGGCCACGAGGACAAGGGATGCCCAGGGACATGGCATGGAAGTCTTCACATCCATCATGTTCACATTTCGCATGGTGTTGGCGTTGCCACCGGGAAGATCTATGACTGTGATGCTGGTTTCTCGAATTGGCTTCAAGGTTGGTCTGATTCCAAAAAGAAGTGGTGTTGCAGTCACAAGGACAAGGGGTGCCCGAAGTACTACTGTGATGACGGGGAAAGCCACTGGGGCACGGAGAAAAGGACCTGGTGCTGTGCCAACTTCCAGAAGGGGTGTCAAAGAACCACGTTGTCGCCCCTTGGTTGCGAGGCACCGTGCACTTTGAACGGGGAGACGTCGACGTGCAAGAGCCGCATGCAGTGGACGCGGGGGAAAGTCTTCCATGACTCGGCGAACGCCTGTTCTCTTGCCTACAGCAAAGTACAGGTGGAGTGCGACGTGTGCAGAGCCTGCACCATCCAAGAGGCTGGCTGCGACGTGCATGTGGCCACATCGGCGGCCTTTGATTGCGATGCAGCTTTCAACAACTTCTTCAGAGCCTGGTCGCCTGCAAAGAAGCAATGGTGTTGCACTGTGAAGCACAAAGGCTGCGAGGGGAGCTCCCCGCCGGATGTGGATGCAGGATTCGGCATGGTTTGGAAGAGAGTCCAAGTCAACGGGTACTGGGTCTGGGTTGCTGAGCATGCTGGAGGCGTAAGCTTGCCATACGACTGCCATGCTGGCCTCGTGCATCACCTCACTGGTTGGTCACAAGGAAAGAAAACTTGGTGCTGCCAGAATCAGCACTTGGGCTGTGGAGCATCCACGGTGACACACGTGACGCATGTGCATGTTTTCCACAGCCACGGTGGAGGAGGTGGAGGCGGCGGAGGAGGAGGAGGGGGAGGAGGTGCAGGCTGGGGCCACGGCAATCCACCGGGCATCGCGGCGGACGGGATGGTTTGGCAGTGGCATCATCATCACTGGGTCCAGGTGCGCGTGAGGGGGTGCTTCTGTTTACAGCAGCTAGGGGGGCGATTCTATATCAACACAAACGAGCTCCAGGGCGGAACAGAAGGAACAAGGATGTCCTACAACTAGCATTTAGCCTTGTGCAGTTTCGTAATCTCGGAAGTGCGAAGCGTACAAGTGTAAGCATCGGTGGTAGCATGTCAGCACGACAAGGGTGACAAGGGGATGAAAATGTCGATCAAGCCTCAGGTCCACGCAGGCAGCTTCGCCTTTGACTGCGGTGCAGGTCTCGCAAAATGGCGTGCTGGTTGGTCAGCTCCAAAGAAGCACTGGTGCTGTCACCATGTCGGGGTGGCATGCTTGTAAAGTATCGTATCTATGTCAAAGTAGGAGAAGTGAGAATGTCTCACGTGCACGGCCAAAGAGCAGGTACCAGAAGAGTCAATGTAGTATGCATGTTGGCGAAACAAACAGCCTTAATTAGAACTTTGCCCGTACTGTACATGCTTGAAGCCGCCTGCAAAACTCGCAGCGCGCACGGCAAACAAGGATTCATCATTCTTGCACACACGCTCACACTTCTCGACTTCTGCGCATGTCGCACTCTCGTGTTGCAACGTTGCACCGGACTGCTTGGATCTCTTCCTCTCAGGGTGTTGTGAGTGTTGTGTGAGCAGTGCGGGTGAGGCTTGGGCGCTGGCCTGCATGATAAGGCTCGGCGCTGGTGTGCTGAAATGCAGGGATTGTGCTCTGGGACTGTACCAGGTGAAACATGGCAAAGGCTCTTCAGATGAGCTTGACTCTAAGGCGTACAACGCATATTGTTGCGTGCTGATGCTGCTGAGTATGGTGGTCGGTAAAGCACATGGTCACATGTCAGAATCCACAACCAGCATAACCTGTGAACAAAAAAGGCAGGCCCAAATTGCTGGTGCATCTTCTAGTCAGGTTTGCGTCAGGTTTGCGGCAGAATGGGAAAGGGGGGGGGCCTAGTTTTGCATGTCCTTGCCGATGTCCATGCTTCTTGGGACTGTGAAGGTTTGCTCTCCCGGAATGTAGCACTATGGAGTAGAGGATGGTGATGGATGGATAGTGAGATCTCTGCCGTAGGGGTGCACACCATGTGCACCGTTTGCAACCTCTTGCGCTCCCACGCGCCTTCGGGCTCTCCGCTTGATGGTGATGATGTTGGAGGAGACAGGCAGAGAGGCTTTTGCATAATCAGATTTTGTCCTTTTGTCGTTCAGTTTTTAGATGAGCCGGGCAGTGATGAAGGAAAGCAATCATCTTCAAGAGTTGCTTAACTGTGCATGGTGCCGTGTTTCTTATGTGTACCGGTTCATGTGCTTTGCAGGTTTTTGTACGGGAAGCACAGGTATGCTATCGACGTCCCTTGCATCGCTCAGGTCGTTGTCTACTGCCCTGGCTGCCGCAGAGCAAAGAGGCGTGCTTCTTATGATCTTTGTTTCATGAAGCTTCTGTCGACAGGGGGGGAAGTCGGAACTTGCCAGCTTTAGAACGTAAAACCGAGATTCCCACAGTGAAGGGCAACGAATCTCATGTGTTTTCCTTCGAGAAGCTGACAGGTGTTAGCCCCTTTGGTCCAGGCTCTTGTCACGGCAGTGCGCAGCGTCTACTTTGCTGATATGTTCAGCTTCTGAGCATGCCTTACCGGTCTACAAGCCCCGTGTTCCACAGGTTGGGACCCACAAGTTCTGCAGGCAGCTTTCGGCCAATCCGTGGTGAGGCGTGGAATTCCGGAAGCCTGGCAGTATGTGAGGCTTTGTGAGACTTTGTCTCTCAGCTGAGGTCACAGCAGGTTGTTGCATGGGGCCAAGCTCAGACGAATGGGTGGGCAAAGTTGCTCCCGCAACATGGTGACGTCAGGTCTACCGCTACGAAGCAAACGCCTCTAGGTGTCCTTGTGTCCTTGCTTCGGTGTTGAGACCACCATGTTTGCGTCAGATGCGACGGTGTTCATGACTCAATGCAGATATCGCAGATATCGGAAGTCAGATAGTGGCAATACATGAAATCAGCGAACGCTCAACGGGGCGAGAAAGGTAAGCCCGAAACACCAATAGTATTAAGTATTAGTATCATGCCGATGTATGCCTCCGCACTCAACCATGAGCGCGTGTGCAGACACCATGCTTGCAGACATGACGGGCGCAATCTTGCTACAGGCTTCTTGGACGGCCAGAGCCGGAGATAGGTTTAGAGCTGGTGTTGATGCATTCAATCGGTATTTGTGTATGTTTGGGTTTGTTCCATGCCGCTGTGGCCGTTGTGAGAGCAAGGTCTGGTCCAATCTTGCAGCAAGAGAGATTCTGTTCCTCGGGCGTGCGGCTGCGGCTTACTGGCAAGCATCACTACAACTTGTAGAGCAGAGGCTGCCGTTTCCTGCGCCGTTCGCTTTATTGACGGTGGAAGAGCGATCTAGCGTACTGCGTTTCTCGCACTTCTTGGAACAAGCTTGGCTTTTTGAAAACTTCGCATGCATGGATCTGCAGTCTTTGACTGACACAAACAGGATCCCAGCCCTATTTGGCAAAATGCAAGGAACTGCTGCGTGGTGCATTGGCCCAGGAACCGAAGCACCACCACAGATTCACCGTGTTCCCTGCAGTTGCACGCTTCGCAACGTCAGCGCCAGCTTCGCCCCTCTGGGCCACTGGTGCATGCGCCTTGCAAACGAGGATCCGGCGACGAACTTGGGTCCTAGTGGTTTGGTCTATGCCTTTCCCTGTGCCTGTCGACCTTCTGTGGTCGTCTATCGTTGCAAGGCAACGGCACGGTGCCCGCATCGTGCAGGTGCAGTCTTCGCTCTTGCGCAAGGCTTGGGGAATGACAAAGGCCCAGAACGGCCGCTCATGTTTATGACTTTTGTCCGAGACAGCACTGGGCGAGATATATTTGCTTCAAGCTCAAGTCGAGTACCCGTGGGAAGTTGGACCGAAGACACCTGGATGACGATTGGCATCAGAGTGGACTGGCAGCGTCGGTCGCTTGACATAAGCTTGGAGCAGTCTGCGACGTCTACCCGGCCCAGCTTGCACCGCGTGCCATTTGCTGACCAGAGTAGTGATGCGGTGAAATACTTGCTCCTCTACAACCAGACAAGTCCTGCTCTCAGCTGGACTTGAACCACACAGCCACACAGTGCTTTATAGTGCTTTGTGCCACCCAAGAAGCAAAGTCATGTCTGTTCGGCGATGAGGTGATTTCGTTGCGTATTTCACCGATGTCTTGATTTTGTGATGCACAAACAGAAGAACGTGCTTGTCAGCTGCACGAGCGTCTCGGCCTAACAAGGCCAAGGTCTTTGCGCTTGATCTTTGCCGTACAACCTTATGGCACATTCTGCTTGATCCCAGTCTGGCAGGTGACGGCGCTGTCGCTCCTGAAGACGCCGGCGGGATGGCTGATGAGTGCCCCACAATGAGGGCATCGAGCCGAAAGCGAGCGGATCGTTGAGCTGCGTGATCAGGACTGGACATCTGATTTTCACGCCTACGTCAAAGAATGTGCCTAGGGTGCGATTGGCGACAGGAAGACAAGAAGGCTGAGCTTTAGCAACGTAATTCACATGGCAGCTGGGAAAAACCGTTTCCGAAATTCTTCTGCAGTTGCTTCGGCCACTACAGGTTCACAGAAGAACTAGATTGTGATTGGGCGTTGATGGTGCGCTGGCTAGGCCGTCACAGACTGGGCTTGGGCAGGCGACCCATTTGGAAACCATGATGTCGTCGAGAGATGCTACTTGTCCTGAGAAAAGCACGTTGCCCCAAAGCACATGTTTAAGATTGTTTAAGAATCTGAGTCGGCTCCTGAGTCGACCCTCTTCCTGCTCAAGCCGCTGCACCCAGCCGCCCAAGCCTTGGGAGATGGCCTCGCTGCCCTGTGCTCTGCGCCCTGCTCAAACACCATGTGCACGTCACAGTGGCGGCCAGAAGTCGTTTGCAGCATCCTTGTGTGCATCATAGTGACGGCATAGTGACCAATAGACATCTCCCGCCTCTCGTGATGATCTCAAAAGGGTTTGGAGAAGGAGATTCTGAAAAGGTGCAGCATCCCAAAGCATAGCTCCCCCACAGACTGTAGAGAAGCCCTCTGCTTGCTTGAGAGAGAGAGAGAGAGAGACAGAGAGAGGAGAGACATAGGGAGAGAGAGAGAGACAGAGATACGGGGGAACAATACTATAATTAGGGTCTTTAATCACTTCCCTGCTCATACACATCATATTTGTATTCACCCACTAGTCCTAACAATGTTATGCTTTCTCTTTTTCTATTAGGGCATGAAGGCAATGAATAAGCGCTCGGTAATTCTTATTGACAGCGCGGTGCTCAGAGGGGGCTAAAGCCAGGTTGTCAGCCTTTGGTAGGGGGTCAGGTTCTGTTAGGGGGGCATTCGTAAAGTACAGGGGGAGATATCTGAGCCCGCATGTCACGCACTTTTCAGCACCAGGAGCGGCCCCGAATACGGGGGCGGGCGGATGCCCGGGGGCTTGACCCCATGCCCCAAGAAAGAAAGAAAGCAAGAAAGAAAGAAAGAAGGAAAAAAAAAGAAAGAGGGAGATTCGCATGTGAACCAGGATGTAGGGGGTATGAAGGACAAGGAGGTTAAAGGGGGGGGTGCTGGTTTATGCACGGGGGAAGCCACACTCCTGATGCTTCATTTCGGGGGCCGCGAAAACCGTGGACCTCCCAATCAAACGGACCCTTGGACGTCGCGCGCCCCTTGGGGCAGCCCCCTCTCTGTGCTACGCGTGCAGGAGAGAGAGAGAGAGAGAGAGAGAGAGAGAGAGAAGAGAGAGCTCCCGGACAGAGAGTAAGAGCCAACAGCACTAGAGAATGCATTGCTTTGCTTGCACACCTTATTCATGTTAACGCTAACTGTTCAGCCTGACTCAGCAACAGGGCACAGCTTGAGCTTGCCTCTGCATCCGAAAGGTCAGATTGTGCAGCGATCACGTGTTTCCTTTTTCGGTTTGTGCCAGTCCTCAAGCTGCCGGACTATCTGATACCTATCCAACTGACGGGGACGCGGTCTCAGATGCTGGGACAGGCACATTCACGTGCAGCTTGCTTTTCTTGCGCAACATTGCCGGACAAGGCCGACTCTGAGCATGGGAAGCTTGTGGCTCAGAAGCGTGGAGCTTTGGCGGTTAGCAGCCATTTACCTCCTGGTCCTACTCGATTCAGGTGCGAACGCGTCATCACCGCCCCATCAGCATCAGGATGCAGTAGCTGCAAGCCCTTGCTGGCTTTGGTGACTTGGTGGTAACATGTCGTGACGTTGCCTGAGTGCAGGAAAACTGGTTTGCGCAGCTTACGGGCCAAAAGGCTTGGGCCATGCGCCCAATGACAACGACACAGCCCAATCATGAACCATTGTGTCACTCACTGCAGAGATGCTGGTCTCATCTCAGACGAATAGCGAATCTCAGACAACCTCTGCTAGCCCCAAGGTCGTTGCGAAGCCGGATGACCAGGCAAGGCAGTTTGTTGACACTCAAAACTGAAAACGGCCAGCACCGTCCTTCCATGACACAAAAGTTCAAGCATGCCACACGATAGTTCAGCTGGCTTTATTCGTTTGTTGGCAGGCACCTTGGCCCAAGGGTGCATTTCAGTCGGGGTAGATTCCAGCAACACCCCGTCACATAACGAAGCTCATATTTCCGAGGCTTGCCTTGCAGTGGCTTTTGCAACAGGCTCATGTACGCAGGCTGCTTCGGAGTGGGCTGAGAAACCAAGGTGAAATGAAGATCCTGAGCCGCGCGCTGCCTCTGCTTCTCCTCGTGTGCTTGCAGGTCGCGATATCAGATGATTAGACTGCTTGTCCTCGTTTGCTTCGGCCACAATGTCCTAGATGTTGTAAGTTGAATCGAGGGGCTGTCAGATATAGAAGAGTAAGAGTGCCCCAAGGCGACAGTTGCGAGCGCGGGATTCCTGCGTCGAAAGTTCTACGGCTCCGGGGCTGTGGATGTGGCAGAAACATGGCTTTAGAGAGCGAGCTGCGCGGCTGACCACAGGGCGTCTGCAGTTCTGAGGACGCGAATGGCAGTGAACCCATCAGGAAAGCAAAGTCAGACAGGCGCATCATGGGCAACACTTGAGTACTTGGCCGGCAGCTGCAAAGGCTGTTGTGTTGTGTGCAGGCGAACCTACTACCACACGACCCTGGAATCTGGGCTGAGAGTTCTTTTGGTTGAAGATCCTGAAGCTCAGAAATCCAGTTATGCCATGGCAGTGGAGGTGCGTGCTTGGCCATGGTTCCAAATGTCCTTCATTGTCATGCTTGTCTTTTTCTCGCTCAGCGCAACAGGTGGGCTCTTTGGAGGACCCCAAGCAGTTTCAGGGACTAGCCCACTTCTGTGAGCACATGGCCACTTGTCTGCTGGACTTTAATGATTCCGTTTGGATTGACGGCCTCGTGCGGCACACCGGAGCCAGTTTAGTCATGTAAGCCGATCGAAGTACCAGCTGGCAACACAGCTCGATCCAGAACGTGGAGCATGTTGAGCACTAATCGCTGCCAAGTTACTGGCATTGAAACTGCTTAAGCAACTCTTTCTTCCTACTTCGGTGTCTTTCGAGTTGGCTATGTCTTTTGGAAGCCCAGAGGGATGAAGAGGGTATGGATGTCCTGTGTCGTCCTGGACCGAGTCGCTATGCAAAGCCCAGTGCTGGTGTTGTCACTACCCTCCGTCAGTTGGTCCTAGCTGAGTCGGCTGCCAATTGGGATGCATGCGGTCCAATGGACCAGTCACACGTAGCATATTTGCATGAGACAAAGAAGCACCCCTTGGTTCATGCAAACTTGTTTCCTCATTGTTGTGACTTTTGCATAGTCTTTGGCCCTTGGTCTGGATTGATGCCGTTGAGGGGTCGCAGTCTCTCAATCTCGGGGGGGAGGCCGATGTTCTCGCAGTGGCTTCCTTTTCTATAGACATTTGACACCCTAATTGAAATTTGATCAGCTTGGTGGGCGGTTCTTGGTGCGTGCGGCCGCTTACTCAGCAGCCTCGCAACAACACTTGCCAATATCACCAGACCCCCCCCCCCCCTAATCTGCACATGCCCTGCGTGACCGGGACAGCAATCGGCACATGCCTTGCTAAATGTGCAGTAATCGACATTGTTGAATCCAAGCCGTTCGGCCACCGAAGAGAAAAATGCATATGCATATTGAAAAAGACACCAGATCATGGAGATTCTTTATGCCAAATACTGACTGGCAGGAGTTTCATTTGCAATTGGCAGTCCAACCTGCAGAAAACTCAGCTCCTTCATGTCTTCCACCGCTTGGCCCTTGCAAAGGCTGAAGCCTGTTTTCGCTTGTTTTCGTGGCTGCTCCGGTTTGGCGACTTGTGCCTGCGGAGTAGCACGCTTTCGTGTCAGCGCAAGGCTGATGTCAAGCAAAGAGACCCAAGATGTCGGCGATGTCGGGTACAGTTTTGAGAGGCTTTTGACTATGTAATGGGAAGCTTTCGGGGGCGTCCAAGATGATCTGTGGTAAGGGTCCGGCATGGCAACATATCGCAGTACAAGTACACACCAGTACTAATCGTAAGTATAAATATGCAGTATTTCAAGTAGTTTCATGCTGACAGTCATGCCTTAGGTGTTTCTGGGCTCGAAGAAATACCCGGAGGAGGACAAGTTTTCCAACAGGTCCCTTTTGCAGCAGTGGTACGTCAACATTCGACGACTGCATGTCGACTTTCCATGTTCTCGGAGCTGAGGTTGGCTTTCTTCGGTGGAGAAAGCAATGCCTACACAGCTAGTGATCAGACAGTGTATTATGCCGAGGTGTACCATCGGTGTACAATCAGACTTTGCCCGCCTGCATCACGAATACTTCACATTGCCACGCAGGTCAGTGATGAAGGCTTTCGAGAGACTTTCGACATCTTTGCGCAGCTTTCTTCTCAGTGCTCCTAATGTCAAGGTTGTAGTATGTTGTAGTCTGTATCTGTACTCAGGTTTTTTGTCGAGCCATCTTTTGCTGACAGCATGGTGGACAAAGAGATCAATGCTGTGGACTCTGAACACAAGAAGCGTCCCAGTTGCAGTTGCAGCACGTGCTGGGAAGTCTTCAGAGACGTTTGATGTGGTAAATGCAGCTGAGGAACATGCCTGATACCACATGGAGGCTTTTTCATTTGATGAAGTCGCGTGCAAACCCACTGAGTCCAGCAACTCGCAAAAGGTCTGCTGTCCGTCCGCGTCCTTACTTGTAGATGCCTTTGTTGCCCCAGTTGGAACAGTTGAGGTAAGCAAGTTCTCAACAGGGAATCTGAAGACGCTGAAGACGGACCCAGAAAAGGACCTAGTCCGATGCACATGTCTCCACCAGGCATCAGCATGTACTCCACAGTGTCGTGAAGTGTGAGGAAGGCATGCACCTGTCGGAAGCTTTGAAGGTATTTCACCAGGCCGACTGCCCTGAGAGTCGCCACCGCTCCGTGATTGGTTCTGCCATTGACAGGAACATTATTGCCCATCCAGGATGCACTTGGTGATGCTCAGCTAGAGTCAGCTAGAGGTGCAATTGTGCGCCCTTGTGCTGAAGTTTTCCTGAAAACCCATTTCGCCAGCAGACCCAACTCAGGATCATGCAGAACTCCTCGATTGCCAAGCAGTTGCAGTCCGTGCACAGCAGTTTCGACGTCCTCAATAGCAGGACCAGCAAATGCCAGCCGCGACCCACCTATGACAACATCACGATGTGCCGGGGCATGAAGTTGTGCTGATTTACAAAAGGGAGCACATCAACATCCATTCGAGTCGATGCCTGCCAGGTACAGCCACCAGCTTGGCAATCTCGGCAGGAAGTTCACTGTGCACACAGATGGTGCTCCACAGCTGTGGTTGCTATTTCCCACAGTCTCACTCAGAGGCAAGTACAAGGAGCAGCCGGAAGCATATATTCACTATGCCATGAACCACTACGGTCCAGGTTTGGGTGGCTGAAACGTCTTGAGATGTCTTGACTCTTCTCGCGTCTTGTTCAACCCAGTCGTTTGCCTGCAGGTGGTCTGAAAGCCTTGCTCAAGCGCGAGGACCTTTCATTAAGCTATTCCACAATGGCGGAGACGTCAGCTGCGGGCACGCTCCTAATCGTGATTTTTTCGCTCACCGAAAGAGGCGTGCAGGAATCGGGCCGCATCATGGAGTACTTCTTCAGCTATTTTCGAAGTTTGCAGAAGCATGGCATTGACAAGGGCAGTCTCCGGAAAATCCAGATGCTTAATCAGGTTATGTTTGACTACCAGGACCGATCCGGATCAGAATCTGGTTATGTGACATCGATGGCAGGTTCCTTGCCAAATGTGCAGCCCAGCGATGTGCTCACTGCTGGCTCTTTGATTGATGAGGTTGACGTGAAACTTGCAGGCAAGTTGCTGGACAGTATCCATCCAAGAAACGTGAACGTGGCACTGGTCACATCTGAGATCCCTTCACACAAGCCCGCCACAAGCCAGAAGCATGAGCAGTACTACAACTTCAGTTTTTTTGAAGAAGCACTGGATGAGGACTTGTTACAAAAGCTGACATCAGCAGGTGGCTTTGGGCTGGAACCGCCTCCAGCATTGGCATATGTGCCGACGAGCTTAGACTTGATTGAGCCAGTGTCAAATCGCCTCCCCGAGAAGCTGCCGAAGGAGGGTGTTGAACTATGGTGGCTTGGCCTCGGGCCGTTTCACTTACCGAAGGCACAGGTGCAGATCAAAATCGCATACCCGCGAGCGATCATGAAGAGCCCTGCTCGTTCCGTACTGGCAGCGATGCATTCCCGCCTTGTCCAAATGGTACTCGAGGAACCATCAGATGCATTCCAAATGTGTGGCCTGAGCTACAGTGTCGTCACTGGTCATGACGGCCTCAGCATCTCGTTCTTCGGGTTCAATGAGCATCTTCTTCAGCTTATGCGCCTCGTCATGCCGCGGGTAAGAGACCCTCGCGTCTCCGAGACTGTTTTCGAGATTGTCAGGCGACAGATGGTCCTGGACTTGTCAGATGTTACGAGTCAACAGCCCTATCAGCATGCAATGGAGGCCTTCGATCTGGTGACTGTGAGCGATGCGCATTCCAGAAAGGATTTGTTAGTGGCAGCCAGTGACTCCTGGGCCGTGAGCATGTCGGAGCACGAAGCGATGCTGCAAGATATGTTTGCCAATCCGGTGCTAACGCTTCTTGTGTCTGGAAACCTGGATCGTGCTGAAGCAATGAGCTTGGCTGGTGAAGTGCAGGAGGTTCTAGGCAAGAAGTCTGAAGCTTCTGGTTTCTTAGAGGGTATTTGGTCGTACCTTACAAACTTCTTCCATTGGAGATCGGCAAAGGTTGCCCTAGCTGTGCAAGAGGAGTACCCGCTAGTTCTCAATCCACAGCAAGATGTTGAGATACGAGTGGCGAACCCCATCCCTCGTGACCCAAATTCTGCGACCATTGTCGCATACCAATTTGGTGTGCCTTCCTTGGCTGATCGTGTGCGGTTTGGCTTAATTTCTAGCATCATTGACCGACCGGTGTTTCAAGTCCTGCGCACCGAGCATCAGTTGGGCTACGTTGTATTTGGTTTTACAACCGTCCATTTGGACATCTTGGAGATTCGCATCCTCGTTCAAGGCTTCCGCCAGCCTCCAGACAATGTTGAGCAGCTCATTGATTCGGCGGTGGCGAACCTCACCAATACCTTTGCATCCATGACGAAAGATGAGTTCAACGTGAGAAAAGACACTATGCGGCGGGATCTTGTAAAGCCACCTGCGAATCTGGCAGAATTTGCTGGACGTTTCTGGGGGCAAATTTGGGATCAAACCTACTGTTTTGACAAGGTTGACAAGCAGCTGAGATTTTTGGACAGCGCAGCATTTCAAAGCCCCACATCTTTGCTGGAGGCGCCTGCTCAATACGGCACACATCTTCAGTTTTGCTTCCCCAATTTCCCGAACAGGTGTGGAAGAGCACCACGCAAAGCACGAATACCACCCATCGGAAGAAACTGGTGGTGAAACTCTTCGGTTTGCTTCTCAGACAGACCATCCTTGTTAGCACGTCGGCATGCATGCGTCCTGTACAGGTTCAGATCGCGAGACTGGATCAAGTGTCATCCCAGAAGTTCAAGCCCGCCAGGACAACGACAGACAACGACAGACAACAGAATCTTATCCACGGGGTAGTGGGAACAGTGGAAACGGGCAGCTCCAACACTTCAACACCTGTACGGGCGTGAAACTACACGTACATCACATATCATAGCATTACATGAGATCCAATCATTTGGACGCAATACCTTTCTGACTAGGACCAGTACGTTGTCACGGATGTCGAGCACCCCAACATGCAGGACGCTTGCCACATGCAAGGCTCAAAATGAGTGATCGATCTTTGGATGATTTTGGACAGCCAAGGATCAGCCGCGATGGCCTCATAAATACCTTTGCGGATGATAGAAGTGGATGAAGGAAGGAAGCAAGAGCGAATTGATGTCCGGATGCTTACAAGAAGATGCGCTTGTGATGCGGAGTCTCAAAAAGCTGTGCGGTTTGCTACGGGCTGCCGATCAGAGCGTGCTCTGCCATCAGATTGCAAGACTGCGCCAATGAATCTGTCAGCTTCATGGCAGGAAGCAGCAAGAGTGATCAAGTCAGCCAAGCGCAGCCCTTGGATGCATGCATTGAAATCTCATTGATGGATCGTCTGTTCTGTGTCATCTAGGCCTTGCGACCTGTGGCACCAGCGGGACAAAGTTCTCAAGGCCGGCTTGCACAGTTCATGGCCCAAGCTTCGGAAGACGCAGCCTGTAAAGTTGCATGTTGGTATTGGACGCAGGGCACACGCCTGAAGACCTGTCTTCTGGACGCTGGTGAGGTGGTGTACCTGCCTCGCACCGAGCACGCTTTCACAGCAATGCCCTGAACATTGCTGAACCATCAGTATTGGTTTTATTTGTGGTTCAGAACAGTCTGGTACGGCAAGCTGCAGGCCGTCTCAGTGGCGCCATGGGACTTGCAATGCCACTAACCTACTTGTGAGCTGGCACTGTGGCTCCAGCCTTATGGTGATCATGCTTGTGTTTTGTCAAAGGTTTGGTTTCCAGGTTGGCATCTTTTCCGTTGGTGTGGGCTACATTGGTGCATTGGACCACCTGCCCAAGGCTGTATGTGCGCCAATTGCCTCGCTTGTTGCTCAGATCGTTTTTTGTAGGTAAGCTGGGCTGCCGCGTTTGATGACATGCCCTCCTCTAAGTTGCCCAAAACAGATCAGACGACTGTTGCGGGGCGAATGTGTGCAGCAGACTAGCACGTGTGACAGCATCATTGTGCTTTCACAGCACATTTGTGCTAACAAGAAGGTCTGGATTAAAAGCGGCATTGGAGGTCGGAGCCTGCAAAGTGCCGATTGATGTAAGCCTTCCAGGCTCTGTCCTGATGGGACATTTGTGTCTTGGCTCTGAAGGCGTTCGGTGACACGCGTGCTGCTGTGTCTGCAAAGGCCAGAGCTATGACAGCTACGGTGTTGAAGAATGGTCGTGTTCGATCTCTGCCCAGGATCGGGAAGGCAAGCAGCCAGGCCCTCAAGGACTTTCAGCTGACTGTAGATGCAAGTGAGAAGTCTTGTAGCCTGGATGGCACTTCTTGGCTGCCGATCTCAAGGTTGTAGTTTGCGTGTGTTCCGTTACCTAGCTTGGTGCTCTGGCTAAACGTTGACCGGGATGACACGCGTGTGTGATCCGATGGGGCTGCGGTTGTGGCTACTAAGCTGTTTTCTCGCCGGCCGCTTGGTTAAAGGTTGACAACGGTCCTGCGGAAATTAGTGGCGAATTAGTGCTACATGTGTCGGGGGTATCTTTGTTGGTGCACTGTCGATCCACGCGGCCGTGCACGTCGCAAGGTTCTTCTCTTTCTTCTTCTGTTACCTAGCTTTTCGTGGCATAGCTCTCGTCAACACAACTTCCTTTTGCTAATATTTCCTGCTAGCCCTGGCTGATCAGTGGATGAAGTGCTGCAAAAGACCTTCTACGGGGATACGACGAGGCAAAAGCCTTGGATGCACATACATCGTCATACACTATCATACATCCGGAAGGAATGGACCTAACTCAGGGCAAAAATAGCGTATGCACGCAACAGCCAGTACATGCACGGAATGTGCCGCCTCATGGAGCGCGCCTCGCATCCAATGGTGAACAGTGGTCCAGATTCCTTCTTTGCCTCTCGTGACCAAAGACTCATCGTCCGTTCGTCCTCGGGCGATCATGCTCCTGCTGACCCGGTCAAGTTTGATGATGGGGGGCGAATAGGTAACTCGTTTCGGACATACTTCTCCAGGCTTCCCCAACACTTGCGCAGGGACGAGCACGTCACGTTTGGCACAGCAGCCTGAGGAGGGTGTTTCGCCTCTGCGAAGGTACGGATGGGATCGGTTTGGGCTGCAGCCAAGTCCGCGTGCAGCTTGGCAATCGCTGGCTGCCGATAGCACCTGGATCAGAGCGTGATCCAAGACACTCCCCAGGCGTTTCTGTAGGGGGGCTCTGCATCCGACCTGAGCCCTGCCAACCTCCACTCAGCCACAACCTGCTTGCAGAGCGTGTCCAAGTTGAGGTCCTAAATCGGATTTTGGATTTTCTGGGTGGGCCATTTTGGGCCAGGCACATCTTGAGCTTGGAGCCATGCCCACCTCCTACTAGTCTCCTACTAGTAGCCTGTATGGCACATGTATACTCGGTAGATATCGGCAGCATTGCTCTTTCGACCGCTTCACACCTAGAACTCTAAGGCGGTCCAATCCGAAGCTAGGCGTAGCCGAGCTGAGTATTCGGTTCCTTCATGTTCCCTCCTTCGTGACGCAAGATTTGAACATGCCGGCTAAGATCCGATACTCTCGAACTCTGGCACTTGTCTTTTCAACAGGGGTAGAATCGGACTTTCACAACCCCCCTTGTGGAACTCGTCTTGCGACAGACACAACTTTATACCATAGGCAAAACTTTTGAGCATCCCAGCTGGAGTCGGCATGCCAGGGCTTTCTGCGTGCCTCGAGTGGCCCAAGCTTAGCCAGAAGGATCGGAGTTGGTGGCGCCAGCCCATGAGCCCGGCTTCCCTGACACTTGCCATGCTGCCACTTTTCACAGGAGAGTGCTTGCCGGCTTGCTGCTGCCGGGTGTGGGTTCACGTATGTTCACGTCACTATATTTTGACGACTGAGTCATTGGGTGGCACCTTTCAGAACCAGCCAAAAGGACATGCTTGTTTGAAGGTGGTGGCCATCGTCGGAACGTGGTGTTGTCACGAGCTAAAGGCATGCAAGGCTGGTATAGCTTCCCGCTCATGCCAGCGGCTTCCACGTGGCGTGCTGCGAAATGGCTGCAAGCATGTCTGCCGCCGTGGCTGTGTCTCCGTTTCCGTTGGTGATCAGTGGTGATGTCGTTACGAAGTTGCTGGCTTCAATGCTTGGTCTCCTGCTTATTTTGCCTCCTGGGCCGGGCTGTTTTTAGCACAATCTGCCGACGTCAATCTTGTTTAAGGCTCATTGGGCCTTGAATTACAGATCTTGGGCTGGAGGAGTTGTTTCGAGACTGGGCTGAAGGATTGAGTTTTGGTGTTAAGCGGTGTTTTACGAAGCAGAACATAGGCCAAGCGCATTTCAGGTAAGCACAGGACGTGTAATTTGCTTCTGGGGTCAGAGGCGCTCATCAGAAGCTGACGACGGTTGCAAGAAACGGAAATGGCTTCCAAGTTGAATTGTTTTGGGACACTTGTCTGCTGGATGGTTTTGCTTATTGCCATAACTCAGGCAAAGCAGGCCATGGTCACCGTTCCACTTTGCTTCTCATGAACGCGTATATGTACCTAACCGCGAGCAACGTCGCTCAGATCTTCCAACTCGTGCTAAGTAAAAAAGCTCTCACGTAAGAGGTTGACAATGTTGACACGTCCGTAGACGTTCCCCCGGTTGTGCAGATCGAGGCCTTTGCACTGGGCAGCTCACAGAGGTCATCGGAACATGGTGAGGTAGCCAGCATTGACTTTTGTCGGTAGAACACGCCAAGAGACACAGACGATGCAGGGAGCTCATCCAGCTCCGTGCAGATCCAGACGCCAAGGACAATCACGGCGCCAGGCCTTTCCTTTGCAAGGGCTGCGTGGCCTGAACAACACGTGCGCTGGCAGCCCGGCAATGTGCGTGCAGGCCAGTGCACCTGGCTGCTTTTGAAGGTGCGCTTAGAATTTCTTGTTTGTCAAGAGTCTGAAGCCACCGTAGACGGCAGGCAAAGAAAAAGCGTTGCGAGCATTGTTGGAGGACCCAAGAAAGTGCACTTGTTTTTGTGCAAGCTTTGTTTTTGCATTCTCACTCTCCTTTCCTGTTCTGGGAAGAAGTCTCCAGAATTCGTTGACTTCAGGGTGCCTCGCTATTCGCAGATGGCAGGATCATCGGAGACTGGCCATGGCACGTACTGACGGCGGCGCTGAGCCGATTCACCTTGCTGCTACACGAGGCCACAGTTCGGAAAATATGTGGCAACTCAGCGGAAGTTCCATGTATATCCTCTGTGTCTCTTACGTGGCCGACAAGTCTTGAAGAACGTTTATGCAGGTCACACGTCGACTGTCCATCTCTTAATCATGGTTACACCACGCCTGTATTTATCACTGGCAGATGCAGTGGCCTGGAGAATTCATTGCTTAGGCTAAGCTGCTGCTTTCGAAGAAGGCTTCTCCATCAGCTCGCTCGTGCCTCAGCAGGTGCGGGTGCTATGAGGCGCTCTTGACATGCTCTTGACGATACCAGATTTCTATTGTGATGTTTCGCCGGGGGGCATCTGTGGTCGTGGGTCATGGGCCAACGTGGAATAGGATGGCGTTCTCTAAGCAGGCGACAATAAAGGTGCCGAGCCTCTTCACATGGCAGTCGGGCTCTGAGTGTGCAGGCGTTGCAGGCCCACCTTGACTTGAGACTCACTAGGGTGCCTGCTCCAGGCATATGAAGGGCACCTTGCAATGGTGGATCTTCTTCTGGAGCGGTGCTGAGCTTCATGGCCGAGCTTTCGAAGCGAAGACTTTGATGTTGCGGGGTCTAAAAACTCAAGAACGCCATGCAAGCTGACCCGATCTGTATCGGTGCATTGTACTGTCCTGAAGACCTCAGGGAGGGGGGTAGGTGAAGGGGGCCACAGTTCAGAACCGAGGAAACGGGGGGGGTGGGCAGACGCAAAGCGGGGGGGGATCAAGAAAGTTCACGGGGAGCGGGCCGGTGGGTAAGTTGTGAGATTGTGGCCAGCTTAGCCAGCTTTGTGCGTTCAGTACAGCTGGTGAGGGCCAGCTCTTCTTGGTCACCGTGGTCCATGGTCGGCCCCAACCGCCCCCGCTGGCGCCGCTCCCACATAGTCGGTGGGGTACCCACAGGGAGCCACGACGAACCTCCATACCCTGCAAGCTCTACGGTCCGAGGCCTCGGGGCTCTCGCACAGTTGGGTTCGAGGGTGTGACGAAGGATGTTGTGTCTGCTTTTCGGTAGAGCCTCACACTTCTTGGACATACACATTGAAACAGCATCAACATGTTGAGGTCCACTTGCAGCTACTGTAGATGTTGAAGTTCTAACAATAATTGAGGTAGTGTTGACACATTGACTTCATGTTTTACGCTCTGCAGCATCTTCCTTTCCAGCTCTCCCTGCACCCGTGTTCATGAGCGGAGATGCAGTTGTTATTGCCCAGTCTCATAAAGAACCCGGAGCTTGAGACAGAACCGAGCGAAGGCCAGTCGGGCTGCCCCTGATGCCGGCTCCGATGTCGCCCGTGCCAAAATTACAAAATTCAGCTCTTGCTGTGAGCAGTGTTTGGCTTACAAATGCGACCGATGCAGTCACACACAGAACGCCATTGCAGGACGGAACTGAGCCAGTGTGAGCCCCAGCAAAGTTTGGAAACTAGAGTCGAGAGATGGCAGAACTGCGGAACCATGATTTGCAATGATTTGCAATGCTGGGGCCTCTCCAAGACTGGGATAGGCAAAGCTGGCCTTCGCACGTGGGCACAAGGCGCGGCGGAGCTTCCCCGCATGCTTCGCTCTGCCCTATGGCTGCGAGGATCTGGCTCAGAAGCTCCGTGATGCGATCCCGAAGCGGCCAGAGGGCGGCCGTTTGAAGCCTAATCCCCGATGATGTCTCGGTGTCGTAAGAGATTGCCCGGACTTAACGCGTGCTTACGAAGCTTGTGGGTTGAGTCACAAAATTTCAAGGAGCCTCCCGCGTTTCCTTATGTTTCCATATGTCGAGTCTCATGCAAGGAAGGGCTTGCCTTGATCCACCCAAATGCATATCACAACATCGTTAAGCCATGCACGATGTGATTCAATTTCGCCATGCAAGTTGCAACTCGTTGCAGCTCGTTGCAGCTTTGTGGTTTCCGAGGCAAAGGGTTGGGCCCGCTCCATGAGGAGCTGTGACGGCGGAATGCCTTTGGGCCATGGGCAGAGCACGTAGTAGAAGCCGAGAAATGACTATGTGCATCGTGCGTTGCATGGTGGGCGTTTCTTTTCCTGGGTGCATGGGCAAAACGAGCCTGACATGTGCATCATTTGCGCAGCCACCAGCACCATGCCGGGATGGAACGGTGGCCCTAGCCTTTGCCGACGCCAGCAGTCGAAGGCAACAAGGCCGTTTGGCCCGTTTTGGCCCTCAACCTAAAAAGTGGACGTGATGAAATGTGTGAAATCGAGGCCCCCGACGCTTGACAGTCATGGCGTCGCGCAAGAACGCTGTGTTCGATACTTTGGTCCGGCTATGTCCTGCTGACAGTGGTGAAGGGAGCCGCCACCTACCTTGACCACGACTAAGGCCGTTTACCGGCTGCTTCAAGAGACGTAGCCATCGAATGCTTCCCAGGCACATTGATTAGAAATATGTGGCCAGGTGTGAGGCCAAGGTATTCGACTCTTGTGCAGGTTTCAGCAAATGGAAATTCCTTATGATTTTCCAAAGTTCCCGCAGATCATGGCCAAGAGAATTGTTGTGTGGGTCCCAGAAGTGGATCTCGTCCGAGCACTGTTATGCGCAAGGAGGTTGTTCGTTAGAGGTTTATGCCAATGCGTGTGCTCCACGGCCGTCCCAGCTCAAACGTAGCTGACGCCGAGCAACCTCATTGCCAAACATATCGCTTACGGCAGGCAACTGGTGTACGCATGCGTGCAATGCACCCCTAGCTGCCCTAGCTGTTGGTGCGGGTAAGTTAGAAGACTCTAATGGCCCAAACTCAGAGCCACAGGGGTGTCCTGGGCTGTGGCCATGGTGTTGAGCAATGGATTCTGCGCATCACAGACTCAACGAGAGCGAGCCAGTGCCTGCTATTGGTGTGTTGAGTCAAAGGCGACATGAGACATGTTGTGGCAACGTGTGTGGACTGTGTGCTGGAGGGTGAGTTGTGTGAGATGCCATCCAGAATCTGGTTCATGGTGGACAGGACGTGGGCTGTCGCTACCTCTTGGAGCCTTTGGCTCAGAAGATTTCGTTCTTCATCCGAGCCGGTCCTTGCAACGCAAGCAGGAGCCAGACCAATCATCAAGCAGTTCGATTAGCATTCTTTAGCCTTGAACAATCACGAATGTCTCCCCGAAGGCACCAGTTCTGCTCGTTGCAGGAGTGCAGCAGCTGGTGGACCAAGCAGTGCGACAGCTGTTTGAAGGCTCACACTCTCTCTCTCTCTCTCTTTCTCTCTCTTTCTCTCTGTTTCTCTCGCTTTCTCTCTTTCTCTCTTTCTCTCTGTCCGTCTCTCTGTCTGTCTTTCTGTCTCTTTGTCTGTTTGTTTGTGCGACCGCACGCCACGAGTTTCGACACAAGAACCGATCAATCAGGACATTAAATGCAGGCAGAGGGCAGCAGAGAGCCTGCACCCGGCGAAGCTGTCCAGTTGTGCTGGAATTAGGGCCAGACAGGCTCTGATACCTGCCGGGGTCATGTTCTTTCCTGGACATGAGGACGACAACATACATTAAGTTGCAGTTTGCGTCGTGTGAGTTCATGTCCCTTCGATTTCTGGGCAGCCGTGTAGCACTCAAAAGCACTGGACACCTTTTGTCACAGATCGGATAAGACCATGCATCCTTTGCTGAATGCTCCCACCTCGCGTGTGCGCGTGCGCCTGCAATGCCTGCATGTGTGTGTGAGAGTGTGTGAGTGTGTGAGTGTGAGAGTGTGAGAGTGTGAGAGTGTGAGAGTGTGAGAGTGTGAGAGTGTGAGAGTGTGAGAGTGTGAGAGTGTGAGAGTGTGAGAGTGTGAGAGTGTGAGAGTGTGTGAGAGAGAGAGAGAGTGTGTGTGTCTCTGCGCGCGCGTGCGCGTGTGCGCGCGTGCGTGTGCGCGTGCATGCCACTTCGAGAACAAGGAAAACACCTCAACCATGCAGCAGGGGATCAGCAGTCCCTGCGCCCGATCGCTTTGCGTAGCAAATTAAACTGCAGGCTTCGCCCTGTGAAAATCGTTTTGGCTTTCTGCCGAGTCTTGAGCAGGAAACGCTTGAAGCTTCTTGTCTTGTTTGCTGAGACTTTTCCCCGCGGCCACATTCCATTGATCGAAACACGGTGATTCGGGCATTTGAATCCTACACTGAAAGTTTCTTTGCCCTCAAGCAATGCGAGAATCCGTGCACGATGTCGTGGGAACGCAGTCATGTTTGAAACCGGCAGTCAAGCCGCAATCTTCGACCTGGCGTTCAAGGGTACGATTCGCGATATTCGTGGGGCAATCCCGTGAGAGCGTGGAAAGGCAAGGTTTGTAGCGAAAGCACAACTGGCTGCAATAGGCTGCACAGGCCAACTTTCACAACCGCACTCGCACTCTTTTACCGACCGGGTTTTAGAAGCAACGTTTGTGACGCTGGGACTTGCAAGCTGACGCTTCAGAATGCCGTGTGCCCCCCCCCCCCCCCCCCCGTTTGCCGCCCCCTTTGCCTCCAGCGGCTTAGCCAGTGAAGCCTATCCTGTCGCATTCCTTCGGACAATGTATGGTACACATCGCTAGTTCGGCACGACTTTCTCAGTTTGTGGCCGAAGCCTTGAGCCTTCTTGCGATGTCAGTACTGCTCCTTACAAAGATCGCAGAGGTCGGATCCAGAGAAGCAACTTGAGACTTGAGGAAGCTCGAGCCAGGAAGTGTTCTGAGAATCTGTGTCGGTTGAGACAAGAAGCTTCAGTTTTCGCCAGAAAATCATTGCTTCCTGGATTCTGTCATCCAAGCCTTACGCTTTGTCTGACCCATGAAGAACACACAGATGCTTTGTTGAACATTTCTCAAGAAGGAGATTGCAATTCCGCAGGGTGGCAGTCAGCTGGGGGGCACAGGGAGACTGCCAAGCTGCATCCAACGAGTTCGTGACAACTTCCTACGCACCTGGAGTAGTCTAGGGCTGTCGCTCTGCGTCTGTGTGTGTCTCTGCAGCAACACGCATCTTTGGGACGGCATGTCGGCCGCGAGGCTTATTTCGTGAGGCCTCAGAGAAGCAGCGGCAGCGAGCCGCACTGGGCATCCAGGCAACGGTGCAGCGGCTTTTGACATCTTTGGACATGTTGCGAGATATGTGAGATATGTGAGATATGTGAGATATGTGTCGCTGTCGCTGTCTTCAGGCTACCGGAGCCAAGGCCAACCGTGAGGCTTTGTACCTCGATCGAGAACATCGTGATCGATGGGAGAAGTTGGCCCGCAGTTTCTTGGAGAGAGCGCTGGAACGGATGCAGGCATAGCATGAAGCAATGTAGGACAATGACAAGGGGGCGCTTACATATGCTTTCGCCGAAAGGCAGATGCCTTGTTTTCGAACCACTGACTTGATCGTGTGCGTCAGTAGTGCGAGCAGGGTCTTGGCATGCTGTCCATCTGACAGATGCATTTATGTTTAGTTTCAAAGCCGAGATGTTTTGTTACCCTTGGGGTTTTAGAAGCATGCGGGCGGTATCGAGTCGAACCGATGTATGGTCAGGATGTTGAAGGCCTGTGACGTTGTTCCATGTGGCGTGTGCTCTGCAGCAGACACGCATTGTGCGGTTCCAAGAGGTCATGGTTCTGAATCGTGAAACGGAACGTCTGGTAGCGTTGCAGACGCGGAAAACGTTCGCAAATGGGGCGCTGATCTTGCTTCAGGCGACACTCAGGCTACAAGAACTCGGCACTCAAAGCTTTTCAAAGACCGGGCTACAACATCCCCAAGCGATCCTTTCAAACTCTGACAGCCTTTCTCATCGGCACACACGTCTTGCTGCACTTCCGTTTTGTGTCGAACTTGGTTGACGTATCAGATGCTTTTCATCTAGGTTCTCTGGTGAACTACGATAGATGCTGGAACATTCGCACTGGGCTGTCGAACGGGGGACAGGCCTCTGAAGCAGCTGATGTTAGCCAACTTCGGCGGCACGCAGCCTTGCAGCATTTTCTGGAGGCCATGGGGCATTGCTAAGTCTCGCTTCATGCTGCCAGTGCACTTTGCAGCACGCGTGGGATTCCTGCAGATCTCTCCAGAGCTTCAATTGCGCCCCAGGGCATCCAAACATGTTGTTCTGCTCAGCTGTCCAGCTGCAGATGGGGCTGTCTGTCGCGATCAGCCCATGAGGAACGATGACCACTGTGCAGGAAAACCGCACACGACAGCATCGGAAAATTGCACGTATGGTCAGGGTCACGCGGAGAGGCGAAAAGAGGTGATGGAAGCAGTCTGCGAGAAGGCTGGCAAAAAATGTAAAAGGTACCAGCTGGCGGCGGTGCAGCTTTCACATCGATTTACCAGAATCTGCTGTTTCGCAAATGTTTGGGAAAATGAGGGCTGGCATAATCTTGACTTCGCACGAGTGCCAGCCCCCGCCCCACGGACTGTGCTAATGGGTCGGCCGAGGAGGGCGAAACTGCTAATTTACTTGTAAGAGGGTTGACCCCCTGTAGAAGGAGCCAGGAATGATGACAGTTGCCTTCTGCTTTCTCGGGAGTTTCTTTTTCTCTTTTCCGGCGAAGGGTTGACAATTGAGTTCCGGGACTTGGGTACTGTTATTGCGAGGGGAGGGTTTATGAATGACAGGTCGACATTAAGCTCGATTCAAGCCAGCGCCGCGATTCAAGCAAATTCCCGAATCCCCGAATCAAGCACTGCTGATTCTGGGGTTCGTGCTGAAAGGGCCGGAAGTGTATTGGTTGTATTGGTTGTCTCCGGGCCAGGTAGACGTTGCTGACCTATACCTTCCTCCGCACAAGAGGTGCAGTGAGGACACATACATGGATGAGCCGCTGCAGGACGTGTGTGTGCAATTCCTGATGGATGTTACGTGTCCTAACAGCATCTAACAGCATCGAGTAGGGTGACTAATTATGGGTGACTATGTAAGGTGCGGGCATGTGCGAACCTGTTCAAGTGCAGAAAATAGTGCAGACTTCCAGAGGCGTGGGGTCTACGTGGTTCAGGGCGTGCGGTACGACTTTGAGGCAGAGTTGGTCAAGTCTGGGCTAGATGTCGAGCATCAAAGCCTGGAAGTCGAAAGTCTTAAAGAAACCTTTGCTTTTAATGTAGCGGTGGACGTCCGACGCCAGCTGGCAGAGTCCGACGCCGGACACATGGGACAGAGGTGCTCCAACCAGCTGGTGCAAGCTGCCACAGCTTTGTTAACCCAGTCGGGCCTCGCCAATATTGAACGGGCCTGTGGTGACCACATCATCGTCAGTGGAGGTGACCAGGAGCTGTTTTTCGAGCTGAAGCAAGGGCCGCCTAGATGTTGGGACCTAGTCCTCTCCTGCAAGAAATCCAACTTCACCAGCTTCATGCTCGGCTCGCGGAGCGATGAAGCAGAGGTTCTGATCTGTGCCCCCAGCTCTCACATCACCAGGCAGGGGGTCAGCCTTCCCATCGAAAGCGACTGTCGGTCAAGAATGGGCAAGACGGCCGCAGGTTTGCCTTGATTCGCCTTGCGGCAAGCGACAACGACCACTTGCAGCCGATCTCGGTGGAGGCACCAACAGTTGTCTTTGCTGGCCTCGGTGTTTGAACACGCTGTCCCTCGTGTCTCGGTGCCCGCTTGCTGGTAGAGGTGCTGGATTTCCGCTCCGAGGTGGAACTTCAAGACCAGTTGGGGAGGCCAATCTCCCTGTTTCCAGATTTACAGGCCCGAAGTTCTTTCGTCGCGCGACAGTATCAGTATGCTATGTCATGCTGCATTAGGCATGGCATGAGGTACTAAAGGGGTGCTGCTGGCCGTGTTTCTGCGTGCTCAGGGTGGCCAGGGCCGTGCCGAACTCCTCGTGGCCTTGGCTATGAGGCCGCTGCACCTTCTCAGGACTCAGCATGCAGAGGTGCAGCAGCTGGATAGCTTAGTATCAGTCAGCCGTCTTCATTCCACCACTATTCCAGCTCTGAGTAGACATCCGCGAGGAGATTGCCGATGCGCTGTGCGATGCGCTGTGTCTCCAGTGCACGCTGGGCACGTGCATCTGCAAGAAGTTCCTGGGCTGGTTTGACGCAGAGGCTTGACTCAACGAGGACGTACTGTAATTAGTCTTTCAGCTACCAGTTTTTGCAGCTTAAATTCGATTTTTCTGCCCATGCGTCATGTCTCTTCCAGGAACGAGCGGGGCTGCAATGACTCGGGCGCGGTGCAGTTGCGGATGATGCAGCCTTGACGTTCCGCGCAGAAAGCAAGCGTACCACGGAGTATGCCGACACTATGTCTGAACAGCTTGCCATAGCTTACCTTTAATGTGATTCAGTGCAACGTGCGCGGTGCAGTCTTCTGTAAGTGGCAGACATCAGGCGAAACGCATCTCCAAAAAGGAGCTTGGAGCTCAGTGAAAGCTAAGTGTGCCAGTGTGCCAGCGTTAGGTGGCACATGGACATCCAGCTCTGGGCAAGCAAGTTGCGCACTGCGTTGTTCAGGGGTGGTATCCAGTCCAGGGACCACCCATGCTCCAAGGCTCGGGATGTCAGCAGTTGAAGTGGGCAGATCCAGCAAAGCTGTTCGGGTCCGCTTCAGGCGTATGATGCCTTTCTAGACTGCGTGCGGCCGCGCTTCCAGTTATACCTTGAGAGTTCTGGAGCATTCTGGAAGGAGCTGTAAGAGAATGTTTTTGCCTTGCAAGATTCGCACAGGGTTCGTTTGAGGCGATGTCCAGACAGCTACCAGAAGAAGTGTCGCACGGAAGCAGGGAAGTGTGGAACGCTGAGATACGCTGAGCGGTTTGTCTCTTGTCCACTTCCGCTCTTCCGCTCTTGAATATAACATAATATGACCTGATTGGTGCTGCCAAGACCTGGCCTGCATGGAAGAGAACAAAACTTGGAAGTCCCAAGCACGGCAGGGTACCAGGTTCAACCTATCCTTGCACTGCGCACAGTCCTACAGCACAGACTTAGCACTACTGGATTGCTGAGTTTCACGTACATGCGATTCCTGGAGCATTTCCACCTTTTTGCAGAGGGCACTCAGAGTCCACAGCTGAGTTTCTTCCAGCAGAAGTTGCAGTTTTTGCGGCGTTGACCAAACGCAGTAAAATCAGAGTTCCACCCCGAAGCGGAATCGAGGTCGAGAAGAAGGACTCGGAAGGTTCCTGTACAAAGACCCTACTCCTAGGAGATGGGTGCAGTCACTGGCAGTCATGGCAGTGTAGACCTTGGGGAGCCAGACCAGTCTGCACCACTTTTTGACAGGAGCCATGGCGTGGGGAGTGTAATGGAGTTTGGCCGTGTGGTCCTAAATTGCAAGCTGTAGTTTGTGGCAGTACCAAGCAGGTGTGGCCCTGAACAAGTGCACTGAAACAAGGAACGGACAAACTCAAAGCATCAGATAAGGAGGAGGCCCGCTTGCTGTCAACATGGGGCGGGCTTAGCTTGGGATGTTTCGCGCCCTAGAGAAACGACACTACGCTGAGCCAGCCAAAGGTTGCACTATGTTGAACTTTTTAACACTTGAACTCGAGGTGCCAACTGTCGCTACGGCAGTGGTGTAGTTCTCTGAGGTCACGAAAGCTAGCCCGCGGGAGCAAGCTCAGTCTCTTCCCAAGCTTGAAGAACGGGGGTGTGGGGAGAGGGTCCGTTAGGGTGCGTGCTAATTGGGGCCGCCCCCACCGGGATTCGGTGTCGAACCCCTACGTTTTTGAGATCCTCAAGGCGCCTTGTCTGCCTTCATGGAGCTTCGGGGCACTTGGGCTAAGCGGGGCTAAGCGCCACTCTGGCTCAGGATCAAACATCTCCTCTCCAAGAGCAGCGTCGAAACCACGTTACTACATCTCCAAGCGCAGCGTCGAACCATGTATGGGTGAGCGAAATGCATCCCCCCCCAGCAGCGTCGAAACCATGTGCGGGTGAGTTTAACGCTCATGGGATTCTTTGGGGATACTCTGCAGTTGGGCACTCCAAGGATTCTCTGCAGATACTCCAAAGTGACGGGTGCTCCAGGGAACCTTTGGGATATTCTGGGTTGCAATACTGTTGCAATCCAGGGGGTCCCGGGATTGTCTGGGTTGGCACCCGACGGATTTTTTGGGGGTACACTGGGTTACACACCGCTGGGCGCTCAGGGTTTTGTTTTTGGGGCGGGGTGATCTGGCCAGGGATTCTCCGACGATGTGGGTTGGGATACGGGTGATTGACCGGCCGTGCACTGGGTAGTCAGTCGACTGCAAGTCTCACACTTGCCTGTTCGGTCAATGCTGTTCTCCTGTGGCTTCTCGAGCAATTGCACTAGCTTTCGTTCCTGCCCCCCCCACAAGTTGAGAGGTCTTTCGGAATCAGCTCCGTGATGCTGCAGTGGGGATGTGGTGAGTAAGAGAGTCAGAGTAGTAGCAAGTAGGAGTAGTAAGTAGTAGTAAGTAGTAGTAAGTTGTAGTAAGTAGGAGTAAGTAGCAGTAAGTAGTAGTAAGTAGTAGTAAGTAGTAGTAAGTAGTAGTAAGTAGTAAGAGCAGTAGTAAGAGTAGTAGTAAGTAGAAGTAAAAGGAAGTAGTAAGTAGAGTCGAAGTAAGTAGTAGTAAGTAGTAGCAAGTTGTAGTAAGCAGTAGTAGTAAGTAGTAGGAAGTAGTAAGTTGGTGCTGGTGCTGGCGCAGGTGCTACCGCCATGAAACCGTGTCGCTTCTGCTACTTACAACAGTTTGGCCTATGCCAGGCAACAAAAAGCCGTGGTGGAGGTGGTGAGTGAAGGCCGAAGGCGGTGACTAGTTTCACGAGCGTGCAGAGTGCATGACTGATGTGCACTTGAGCACCGGGACATCCATGGCAAGTGTGGCGCGTGAAACAGGTGCGCAATTTTGCGACTTCGTTACTGCACTGTGAGAGCGCAAAGGGTAAGTAAGTCCCGACAGCTGTGCCAGGTAGTTTCGGTATGCTCTTGGGTCAAGCCTCTATAGCATAAGATGGGCAAGCCCGGATGCTGCTCTCCAAAGAGGACCGGTGTACGTTCCACATGCAGTTCTAGAGTGCGAATGGACAGTGCTCCACACCAGGCTCGGGCCTGCGAGTGCCGTCGGCGTGTGCCTGCTGCGACCGCCCCCTTGCTGTCCCTGCTTGCTGTTCTGGACATTGGCGCGCCCTGTCTCGCACAGTACTTGGACACCTGTGGCAGTGCCTAGACTGGAGCATCGCTCGGGAACGTGAGGGCTGCCAGCACTGTAGATGAATCGTGTCTTTTGTTGAGCTGGGTGGATCCGGATCCTGTGGGTGCTCGCTAGCCTGAATGGTCATGGGGTGGTTCTGTTTCTCATTTCTGCACCTGTTGCATGTCTGTGCGTATTCCATTGGATGAGCTCCGTCGCCAAAGCCTGCCGTTCTCGCTCACTCGTCCTAGAATGCCATATCAGAGTATAGCTGCTGTAGCTTTCTTAGACTTCTATTGCCAAGGCGACTGGATCGTAGAGCGAGATGACGTGTGGGGTTCCCAACGATATCAAACGTTAGTGTTTGAAAGGAGACTGCGCAGGCAGCCCCAAGCCTCGCGCACGCATCCGTCACATTCTGACGTGTTTGGGATGTTCTCATCTGTCCCAACTCTTGAAATCGGAACAAGGCGAAAATGGGATGGCTGCACTGCAAAATGCTGCATACACATTCTCGATCAAGGCATCTTCGACCATTCCACATGAGATAAACGTGCACTTTTGTTTTCCTGGAAGCCGATTAACGGGTGGAGGGACAGGTGGATCGGACAGCCCTAATGAAGCCAGCCCAAGCAAGCACGCACGAGCATGGGGATAGCCACTAAATATTTGCCGTTTTGTGGTTTCACACACACAAACGTTAGTTTGCAATGTTTTTGTTTTGTGCCTATTGTATTTTATCTGCACTGCTAACTCTTGAAGCGGTTGTCTTTCCGGCCTAACATCCGCAAATAGTAGAGGTAAAGATTTTTGGTTTCCATGAGAATGTCTGGAAGACCCTTTTCTGCGGATATTGGGCTTGAGTTAAGTAGTTCCTCGAGACGTGTTTGTTTTTTTGTTCATCGAAGGGTTTGTTTGAGAAGGGATTGTACAACAAAAGTAGCACCAATTGGAGAAAAGCTTGCGTTTCGGCTCAGTGATTCGTTTTCCGGCTTTTGACTTTGCAAGAGAATGTCAGCAGGAAGGCCACACTTTTGCAAGCTTAGCAGGCTGAGCACCAATGCAGACCACGTGACGATCTCAATCGCCATACAGGTTTGAGTAGCTTAGCAGCTTAGCAGTTGTTGCCAAGAGTTGGGGCTTGTGCGACATCATGAGCGGAGAGGGTCTGGTACCCAGACTACCTCCCAGCTTTGCCTAACAAATTTGGTCAATTCATGCAGCTGAAGGAGCGGCCGCCGAGAAGGAAGATGGGGCGTCTCACCTGTCCCGCCTCCAAGTTCCGCGTGAGCCACGCCATAGTGTGCTGTCGGATGGTAGCCAAGCGAGCATGCGAAGCATGCGCGGAAGCACAAGGAGAACTTGTTTGAGTATCTTGGTGATGCTTCTCGGTAAGTACATCCTGCCGGGATCTGCCGCCGATCGCCACTGAATGAAAGGAGTGACGCCGATGCGTCCGTTTCGTGCCGAGTATGTGCTGAGTATGCTCTCGTGACTCTGTCGACTAACTGCGCGCCCCGCTCTGCGCCAAAGGTGTCAGCAGCTTCGGATGATGAGCGGATACCACTGCCGGTCCGAATGATCAGTGCCTTGCCATGCACCAGTCCTGAAAGCCCAAGCCACGCGCATGATGTTATGACTGTCATTGACTGTCATAAGCCTCACGTGCTTGGGGGCACTTTGGACTGGCCAGAGGCGAGCACTTCAACATCGAACCCGTGTTGCTCTGGCGAGTTGCTCTGGGCCTCGTTGCTGTCAAGAGCCGAGAAATTGCTGATCTGCGGTGTCAAAGCTGCCACGAGCCGCCACACGAGACATGACGTTAAAGGTGCTTCTTGTCTACCTTTTCCTCTTGCTCTGTTTCTTCAGAGGCATGAACACGCATTGGTTCACCACTGCCTCGCGCATGGACACGTGCAGATGCGTGCAGGAGGTTTGCGGTCAGGTGAATGTCAACCCTGACTTGTATTGTAGCATCTGAGAAGATGCCAGACACTTCCAGACCTTCAGCCTGACACCGGTGCCTCGCGCCCTTGCCAGGTGGCGCCACACAGTGCCCGCAGCTTATGAGAACAGGGGCGTGAGGGGTTGTGAAAGTTCATTTGTGTTCAGTGCCTTTCTCGGTCGAAGGCCCGCGTGAGTGGGCAACTGGGGCTAGTGGTGGTTACTATTGCACGGAGCTGAGAGACGCACAAAATGCCGTCTGTTGCATGGATGTGCTTCATTTTGCTTCATTTTGCTCATTGTGCTTCGAACTGCAGGTGCCGACATGCAGGGCTGCCGACCTGCTGCGCAGGGGCCGTTTCCTTCATGCCGGGCACCCAAATCACCTGAATGCCGTTCAAATGCCCACACTGATGAAGCTGTTAATATATGTCAAAATATGATGAATATATTAATATGGCGTCCGTCGCATTGCAAAAGCAAAGTGAAAGACCTCTTGCTGACTCTTGCTTGCAGTTGGCTTTGCCAGCGGGGTTTCATGCGGCGGGGTTTGGGGATGGCGCTGTGATGCTGCAAATGGACCAAGGGCGCCCAAAACGATGAACCAGAGACCAGGAGCTGGATGAGAGCCAAGTCGGAACACCACCGCCCCACGCAGTACCAAGGCCAAGTAATCAAAAGCAGCGACAAAAGTCACAGCAACTGCAGCACGTGTACTCAACAAACCGGCTTTCATGCATGTGTGTTCGAGATGGAGAACGCCAGGCGACACCAGGTGGTAGAACTCCGCAGTGAGATAAACCGCCACTGCTGTACAGCATATTTTTAGTTTCTCGACGCGTGTGCTTAAATGGTCAGGCTGCAGGGCGTGGGGACGCTTTGTGTGCTGAGCCGACAAGTTCTTTTCGGGTACCCGGCCTGGGCGACCTCGCAACATCGATGGTTCAGGGACGGGCTTAGAGCACACACTCCAAGCAAAAGCAGTTCGAGCTCCCTTAACTTGGCCTTGGTGTTTCCAAGGTTTGTCTCCATCATCCCAGTATCATCCCGACGTTGTTACTCTGCAGTGTGGCTGGTCTGCTTGGTGGGTGGCAAGAAAAGCAGTTCACTGACTTTTGGCCAGGCTGAACATCCCCTTCAACTCAGAAGCAGAAGCATGCACCTCCCAAAAGCACCATCCCCTGGTGGTTCAGTACTGGACTCGTGCCTGTTCAGGCAAATCACAGCCGAGGGCTCGGGCCACTTGCGGGCACTGCTTGTGACTTCACGCCTGCTTCCCGATCCGCAATGATCCGCAGGTGTTGGATCGGCGACGTCCCAAGCAAGCAGCTGGGCGGGACTCCCAGGTTGAAGGCTTGTTTAGTGGCCGGGATAAAAATGTGCAACCCATGTCTGCTCAAAACAGCTTCCACTGAAAGGAAATGCCCTGTGTGATTGCCGTCCGTGGAAGATTGAAGCATGGGGTGGACCCTTTCTGCTTCCGGGCGTCTCATGTCGTGGTGATTTGTGCACCGAAGCTCGAATTTCCACACAATATGGCATTGTTGCGCAGAACATATTTCTTGCTTTTTACGTTGGGGGCGGGGGGTTGGGGGCGGGGGACGGACCGCACAAAAACAAAGCTCCTGTTAAAGTGAGAGAGGAACACCCACGGGTCCGCACATTGACAATGTGTTCAGCAATTTTCACATGATTTCACGGAGTTGTGTCGACTTCAGGGTTCGAGCAATCTCAGATTCTTTTTGAGGGTCTGAAGAAAAGGGCTAGATTCTCCGCCTTATGGAGCCTGCGTGTGGGCAACCCGAGTACCTAAGGGAGCACATAGAATACGAATAGGGGGCGCAGCTAGCCGAGTATGCGGGATGCCGGGACTGGCCATCTCAGCGTACCTGCTTGGAGGTCTGGACCCAAACCGCACAGCACGGGGCCGGACCCTTTCCCATGAGACAGTGCCTTGACCAATGACCCTAATCGGTGTCAAAACAAGCTAGCATTAACCCTGCAAACTGGGTCCCGTTTTCCGGGGGGGGGGGGGGGGGGACGAAATGGCGAAGACAATGAAGACGAAATTGTTTGCAAGGACCTGAAGCTTAAATTGTATGCGAAGATGAAATTGAAGACGCAGCTCTCTGTGTGTGTCTCTCTGAGTGTCTCTCTGCGTGTCTCTGCTGCGGCTTGGCCTTGGAAGAACCAATAATATGATTAATCCATTCAGTTTGTCGTTTTCAGAGCATGTTGCAGTTCAGGACAATGTGTGGAAGCCATGAAAACTGTTTGCAGTCATGCAGGGTTCATTTCGAAAACAGCCAAAAGTTGAAATAATGGTGCCAGACATCGGCTAACAATGCTGACATGAATACGTCAGATTCTGTGTGACTGCCTGGCTTACTCCCATCGCCAGATGTACGGGCCAGGCCAGCAAACTTGCAGTCCGAATCTTGCAGTGCAACAAACCTTTTGGAGGTCAGCAGGACAGTTCCTACCAGTTTGAGAATTCTCCAGTTGTCTGTGTGAGTGTGTGATAGTGTATGTGTTCGTCAGGGGTTTGGTATTCCACCAAGCTTAACAGGATACAACAAGGGACTGGTGGACATGCCCGGAGTCACCGACACATTTGCGGATGATCCCTTGTGACTTTCATGCCCCACATTGTGATGAGCTTCACTGCGCAAAGCTCCGGACCCACGTGCTGTTTGGATCTGCAGCTATTGCAACCCAAATGCTTCCGTGCATGTGCAGGTTGTGTGCGCGTGTCTGTGGCCAGTGGCGTCATTGCAGAGGTCATACAGAAAAGACGGCTACGGCCAAGGTTGCAAAGTCAGTCCCTCAGGCCGCAGTATGTTTCGACTCTGCGAGGAGCCATCACAGCGTGCAGTTCCAAGGCCAGGATATTACGATCTTCGCATGATGAAGAACGGCAACTTGTCAGTATCTGTCAAGCAATGGGCGGCTGCACCGAGCTTCTAACATCTACTGACGATGCCATCCTAAAGCCTGACCAAGGCAGGGCCGTGGCATGTAGTGCCCCGATTAGCATGTGCCTTGGCTTCTGCCGCCAAGCCTGAGACCGGATCTTGAATCAGCGGTTGTTGTCACTTGTTTGCCTTTGACTTGTTTGCCTTTGCTGCTCAGGCAAATTGCCGGGTGACCCACAGTACGGATGTAGTGGACAGTTTGAAGCTGAGAGCCGCATGTCTGTGCTTTTCTACAGGTGCGCCGCGAGTCTTAAGGTATGATACCGCCGTGACATGTGACGCTGCACCACATCCGGTCAAGGACACACAGCCGGTTGGCTGCATTATTTGCAAGATCTTTTCATATCTTTTCCTTCATAGGAAAATATGGCCATCCCTACTGTTTTGCCGTTTCACTGCTAACAGGTATGTGGCCGCTGTACATCGCGGGTGTGCTACGCAAGATGGGAAAGGCACCTACGGTTTGCCTGGCTTGTTTGCGGCATAGGTTGAAATTCCGCGATGCCCAATCTTCTTGAGGCTCCCTAAGAGGGTGCATTCGGAGCTTTGTAGCAGATATTCTGACCAGAGCTCCCATGGTAAGAGCAGCTGGAGGGTGCAGAGGATGTGGCCAAAAGCCCAATTCAGACAGGCAAAGGTTGCAGAGGATGCGGCTTCAAAAGCCATATCCAGATTCTTCCAGACACAGATGGATAAGAACGGCATGAGCAGGAAGACTTGGATCCCAATCCTTCCCTTCCAACTGCCTTGGGTCTCCGTGCATAATGTGGAGGGATGGACTTGGTTGCGCTCACCAGCTTCCCCGCCTCCTCTCTCGAGAGAAGAGCAAAGGAAGGTCTCAACGTCATGGCCCTCCTGCAAGTGGCGATCCATGACGGAATTGCTACCTTATTGGGCTGTTTTTGCAGCACGCTCTTTGGAATCAGCCAATCGGCCGGTAGAGCTTGAGGTGAATGAATATCTATTGGAGAACCGGTCAACACTTCATGTCCTCTGAATGTTCTCAGTTGTTTTGCGTCGCATTGGTGTGCTTTGTGATTTTGCCAGGATATGCCTACGATGACGGCGTGGGACCGGAGCAAAGTGTTCTGAAGCTGGAAAAGGGTAGATCGCTCGGGCTTCACTGTCACTTTCCAGGACTGAAGCAGTGCCCGCCTATGACACTCTATGAGTGGATTCTGTGCCGCTTGGCATATACATCCCCACCCGCCCTGGGTGAGGATGTTTGGGGCACCCGGCGTGGAGGAAATCTGGATATGGTTCCGTTCGAGACTGACATGACATGCCCTGAGTGGACTGCAACTCGTGTACAGTTCTGTGGTATGCGCATGAGGCAACTCGAGCCCGGAATTGCCAGCAGTCCCTCGAATCATCTACCCAGGACCATTTCTGATTTTTCTTCCTGAACCCTGAACCCAAGGTGCAGAGCATCTCGTATGTGGGTGTGTGTGTGTGTGTATGTGTATGTGTATATGTGCATGTGTGTATATGTATATGTGTGTATGTGTGTATGTGTGTATGTGTGTATGCGTGTATGTGTGTGGGTGTATGTGTGTGTGTGTGTGTTTGGTGAATTCTCGGGGCCGGCTGCATGCCCTTTGAACGCACAAGTCTGAGGCCCTACGCAGTCAGAGAATCCAATTCAGTGGCCACATTCTTGGCGCATTCTGCACTCAACGTTTTCTGCATCGACAGATGTGCGCTTGCAGCATTCTGGCACAGATGCCGGCACTATCCCCAACTCCTCCATCTGCTGTGGCACGTCAAGCTGCATCCAGTTTCCATGGTTCCATGAGGTATACGGTTCCCATGTGAGACATTTTGTCGTTGATCGTCTAGAAGGAAGACACAGCCTGAACGCAGCCCAATGCCCGCTCCATCTGGCGCTTCCAGACACGCTGCCGCGGCATTCTTCTGCAAGCAGCGGCTGCAGGGCAGGCCCGATGTCTACAGCGCGCCAGCAGAAGCATGTTCGCTTCGCCCCCAAAGCTTCCCGAGCAGAATTGTGACTGGCAAAAAGGGGGGCTATCAAGAAATGCGACCTTGCCCGTTTGCTCTGGGCAGGACGGCCTGATAACATCTGATAATAAGTGCATTCTTTGCAATCGAAGTCGTGGTCGATGCTGATTGCTGAACTTTTTGGGCACCAGCGGTCCTGTTGTAAGACAAGCTTGGCGCCGTGGCGAGTGAGTTTGGGCAGTTCCAGCTTCTGCATCTTGCACGGTTTTGCCGAAAGACACCACCAGCCGGCTGCCACTCATCTGGGCGTCTAGTAGCATTATCGGGCTGGTGGAATCAATGACCCGGCCTGGACGAACATCGTAGTCCTTAGTGTTGTCGTCCATGCTTTGCTGTCGACGGGTACTTTGGCACACATTTAGCCGCTCAAGACATTGGTGTCTGTTCCTTGTTGTCCGTGGTAAGTCTTTCGCTTGCATATTCCTCATTGCTTTCGAGTTGTCGCCCGAATCTTCCAGACTGCGAACGGCTTGTCTCTTTCCCCGGGCCTCGCATTCAGCACCGGTGGCTGTTACAAAAACTTTCAGCATCTCAACGATGTTAGAGTTTAGGTAGTTTTAGGCCTCATGCAGAGCATTAGTCGACATAGAGACTTGCTGCGCGAAATCAAGTTGTGTCTTACGAGTGTTCTTGTGCATGCAGGCGAGTAGCACTATGGTTACTGCTGTCCCTCATCCTTTACAAAGTGTCTTCGCGCTGGTGCTGCTGCTACGTGCACACACAGCGCTACCAGGCAGCACAAGGCTGGTTCAGTTTCGCCCTGTTTCGCCATGTTTCGCCATGTTTCGCCATGTTTCGCCATGTTTCGCCATGTTTCGCCAGCAACACACAGACTTCAGGCGCTGTGCCATCGATTCCAGGCCGAAGAGCCTGTGCCTTGGTTTTTTGCAGCTTGCCAGTACGCGATTGTCGATGCTGCGTCGCTCTGCAGGAGGCCGTTGTGGCAGGTGCGCTTCTGCCTCTGCCAGTGAAGGCAGAGGTGGGAACGAGACCGTGATCTCCCCCAAGAAAACTGTGCAGTTTCGGGCTGAGGTTTCATCCAACACGGCGGTGGGTGGTGATCGCGTTGTTCTGAAAGGAGGCTTGCCATTTCCGAAGGCCTGGATCCCTTATGATATTTGCTTTTGCCTCCGGGTCACGCACAGCACAGCTCAATACTTCGAGCATGTGTTGCTGTTCTATGTGTTAGCCTTGTTAAGGCATCGTTCGGCTTGCCCTTCGATTGCAATTGAGCACAAGTTTCGATTTTGTGCCTATTCGCACGACAACTATTTCCTACGCCATCTCACGGCATCTAACTAGCGGAGGCAGGTTTACAGCGATGAGACGGCGGAGCGGCTCACACAAATGGCCATCGATGTCGGGTACCGAAACTTCTTTGCCTCTGCTCTTGCCTCAGAGATGCCCCAGCTTCCCAACGAGTTTTTGAGTGTGAGTGGCTGGTGCACTGAAGGTGCTTGCTGGGAACCAGAAGGGCTTTGCGCGCGGGGTCAAAAAGTCGGGTATTCCGAGGGAGGAGCTCTTCATCTGTGGATCAGTGGTGAGCCAGTTGGCGCAGGCAAGACACATGACAGCGCGTCACAGACAAGGAGCTTTGCACAGTGGCTCGCAATTTGCTTCGCACAAAGCCTGAGGATTTTGAAGACGCGCCACTTGGCTCCATGGAGCAGGTACGGACCGCAGCACAGGAAAGTTTTGACCTGAGGTACCTAGCCACGAAAAAGGGCTGTGCTCAGAATTTGGAAGCTTTTGCTGAAGGCGGGACGATGTGGGACGTGGCCAGAGATCAAAGCTCTAAGGATTTGGTTCTGGTTGAGGTTGATGGTTGCCGTGTCCGAAGCTGACCATTGCAGACAATTTGGATGCTGCATGCAAAGGCGGAATCACAGAGCTGGACATGATCATGCAGCTCATCAGCATTCATCGGACAAAGGTGTGCAACACACACACACACACCTACACATACCTACACCTTACTTACGGGCAGATGTTGTGCAGCCCATGTCTGGCGCACAACATGCTACTTCCAAGGCTTGTAGCCTCGTACTCTAACGTTTGGGGGGGTGCTTCTTAATATTCCTCGCTCGTGCTTGACCCTTGCTTTCACCTGGCGGTGCCTGGTGTAGGACAGTCGTGGGCGAAACCTGGGACTGCAGACGCACTCACACCATTCTCACGCATGTGCACTTGTGCAGAGAGTTGCGGTCTGACCCCGCTGTTAGTGATTCCAGAGGCACAGCATCCTGGGCAGGTTGGACTATCCAGCCAAAGATTGTGAAACCATCCGGGGACAGTGGAAAGCTTTCGAGGCTCATCCGTGATGTGACACTGGAGCAGACAAAAGAGCGGCAAGTCGACAGGAAATGCTGGCAGCCGGCCAAACCAAGAGCTTGGCTGTGAGCAATTTCTCACCAGAGCAGCTGGATTGTATCTTTGCAGACTCCGCTGCTCGGCATCATTGGGCAGATGTTCTTTTGCTCATCCAGGAGCATGTGAATCCTGGAGCGGAGGATGCAACTCCTCCGGTCCTCAATCAGCTCCCATATTCTTTGAAGAGCTACGATGACAAAGCAGTGCGTGAGAATGGCAAGCGCAACCTGGCTGGAACAACCAGTTGATCCTTCCATCTTCTGCACATGACCCTTGGACGAATGAAAGCAAGACAACAAACACAGACTTAACAAAGCCGCCCAAAGCCGCACAACGCGTGACGACGTGCGTGGAATGGGTAATCCGCGGTGAGTGGAGAACGCTTGTAAAACGCTACTTCCATGCATCCATGACATGGCTGCGTCATCGCCGAGGACTCTCCAGAGTTCGTTTGTGTGATCTAGGGACTGATGGGTGGCAAAAAACAGCATTGAAGCGGTTGTTATGAGCATGGTTGCTCTCAATCTTCGGTCTCTGCTATCCACCTGTTCCAGGGCAGGGGGCCCCTTTGGCCGGTTTCTTGAAGCTTGTTGCAACATCTGTTAGTGAGGGATACCATGGGGGAGTGGGGGGGGTCGGGGTGGCCAAGGCAACCGCAACCGCAACCGCAAACGCAACCCAACGCAACGGCAACACAACCGCAACTTCTAAAACTGCCCCAAGTGCCGCAACACAGGACCTCCGAGTCAGCCCCCGAGCATACTGCATAGTAATGGCGTTTCAGGAAGCATGTGCTACCATGGCCGCACCACTCTGATGCTTTGCATCTTCATCATCTCGTCTGCATTGATTACTTGTATCGCTACGGCCTTCTGTTGTTTTGGTTGCGGGCTTCATCTTTCGTCCACATGTAGCACTCTTATTTATACTCATGCCCAATACATGATTGAAATCGTACATGCTATCGTATTGATTCCATGCTTGCTGCTTCCACCTTGAAACTTAGCAGGTGCACATGCGAACATACATATGATTCATGAGATCTTGGCTCGCGGCCGTTGCAGTTGCCGTTGCAGTTGCCGTTGCGGTTGCGTTTTGTTCACTTTCCCGTCCCCGAGATGGACCATCACCTCAGCGCATCAGAGGTGGCATCCTGGTTCAGGCCTGGGGTCCACTCGGCTCAGGGAGCCTGGGAATCAGTGCATCGAGCTACTACCAGCAATTGGACTTGCTTTGAGTTTAGGGTCTGAGACATCTGAGACTTCCACGAACGGTCCGAACAAGCACATATTGCACCCTGCTGAGCCCTGCTGAGCCCTGCTGTAGTGCACCTTGGCTCAAGGAAGTTGGCCGAGGACATCGGCCAGAAGTATGGCAAGACTGCAGCCCAAGTGGCACTGTGCCTGGGAAGATCAACTATTTACTTAATTTACTTCCAACATTTGCACCCGAAACACATTGGCGTGGGCACTCCAGGGATGCTCTGCGGGATTTTGGGGAAGGCGCTCCGAGAAAACTCTTCGCGATTCTTCTGGGATTCTCTGGGCTGTGGGCAGGAATACTTTGTGAGTTTTCTGTGCAGGACTTCTTTCTGGGGCTGGGCACTCCGGGGAGATGTTGCGGGATTCTCTGCCACATTCTGTGGGCTTAGGCGCCCCAGGGGATACTCTGCGGGAGTTCCAGGTGGAAGGTGCTCCACAGTGATTCCATGTGATTCCCGGCACGCCAAGCAACTGAACAGGATTCTCTGCGGATGTGGTGGGGTAGCTGAATAGGAGATCCGGCCACGT